ATGAGGATAAAAAATATTAAAACTATCTGTTTTTAAAATTTTTGTTGTTTACCCCATAACTAACATTTGCTTTTTATAACAGAAATAACTTGTTTACTTCAACCAGTGTATTTGTTGCTAATGTTTTTGTGCCCAGTATTTATATATACTCATTATAACAATATCGTGACTCCATCCCTATGCTTTGGGTGGGGTTGGCCTGCTTCTGGCTCCAAGGTTTGACAGTACTCAGGCTTGACCAAAGTCATGGTGAATGGGCAAAGGCAGTTGCAGGACTACTGAGAGACAGGCATGCACTCTTCTCTACTAGATAAGAACCCGGGAGAACATAATCCAGGAGCTGCTAGGGAAGGGGAAGATCCCACTCACAGAATTTCAGTCCTTAGATCCAAAGATGCCCGCAGTCTTAATTACTGCTAGGTTTGATAGTTACAGAACCTGTAAAAGTTTTTTGTATTTTCTTTTTTTTGCATTTAAATCAGTTGGAATAGTTCATATGTAACCAAAGGAGTCTTAACTGATACAATATGTTCATAATTTCAATTAATAGAATTTGTAATCTCTCCAAAGAAATTGGTAACAACCTTACTGATGCTGTATGTTGATATGTGCTTACTTTTATTTTTATAGTAATTTTACTAAAATATTTATTCTAAAATATTTGCTTTACATTTGTATATAAAGATATATTTAACTAAAAAATTATAAGCAGAATTTATCTCAAAACGTCTCTAGAGCATTTTATATATCAACACTCTTCTTTGGCTCAGCCGCGGTTTTTCCTGCTTTCACCCTCTGCAAGGCTCCTCCGCGAATAGGAAGTTTTTTAAGAGCAATATCTGTGTCAGCCAGAGGTCCGCCCACTAACCGGACAGGAGTGCTTTCCACCGCTACTACCCGACCAGAGGGCACCTAAAAAACCAGAAGGTAAATATCTAAAGTCCATCTACAAAATTTTTCAATAGGAGAAAAACTCATTTATCCTTCAGGTTACTTTAAAAAAGACACAAAATGTACATCTAAGAAACTAGGAGGAAGCCCTGGCCGGCGGCTCGGTTGGTTGGAGCATCATATAGTACACCAAAAGGTTGTGGGTTAGATCCTGGGTTGGGGTGCGTACAGGAGGCTTGACGTTTCTCTCTCACATCAGTGTTTCTCTCTCTCTCCCTTCCTCATTCCCTCCCTTCCTCTCTCTCTAAAAATCAATAAACATATCCTCAGGTGAAGATAAAAAACGTAAAACAATAACAACAGAAACACCTAGAAGGCAGCGTGACATATTGGAAAGGGCTTTGGAGCAGGCAAATGGGTTTGAATTCTACTTCTACTGCTTATCAGCTTTGCAGTCAGGGCCAAATTATGTCTAGAAGAGGACACCAGGAACACTGGGATATGGCATGGATCTGTGTGCAGGCAAAGGAGGCACTGCACGTTTTCTGTCAAAGAGACATAGAGATATCATCTGACTGGTGTTTGCCACAGTTTCTTGAGAATCCTGGAGGGCTGGGTTAAGTCTAAACCAGCACTGGATGAGGGTGGAGGTACCCTGAAGACAAACATGCCTTAACTATATGAAATTTGAATGGCAGAAAAAAAAAATGAGACAAAACCCCATGGAAATATCACTCTGGGGACTAAATTAAATATCTACCAAGAAAAGTAATGGAGAAAAAAGTCTTACCGTTGTGTTAAGGCCTTTAATATCTGTCTGGTGAAATATTGCATTTGGTGGTCGCTCACTATGTCTAGAGGCTTCTATAGCCTTTTCCTGAAGCCTTTTTGCTTTCTGAAGATTTTTAAAGTAGAAAGAAAATAATATTGCTATTAAAGCGTTAACTGTGATACTTATAATGAAGTATACAAATTATACTTAATTGTGTCTGGCTTTTTTTTAAAAAAAATTAGTTAGCACTTGAATCTGCTAATAATTTAGGCTAAGAAGATAGTTATTAGCAAGTTGTATCTTTTGTATATTGCAGAATACCTAAAAAAATTACTGAGATTTCCAGAAATCCTGGTCACATACTAAGAAATAAAAAAGGTCTTATAGAAATCAGGTTCAATTTTTAATGTATAATTGAATAAGCTACTGAATTTATATCAGGTATGTTTTCAAAGTATTTTGTATAAATTAAATACTAATTTAGTACATTTAAATGTTTCAAGCATTTTGAATAACATAAATTATGTAACTCGCAGTTATATTCAAGCTCAAAATCTGAAGCACTGGAACAGGTGAAATTCAAGGTAACCAATGATCTGGTCAGAAAGGGCTGATTTGCATTAGCTATTTCTTAAAAGTACAGGTAGTTATAAGCATATTTTATAAGTAAAGTTGGAAAGAACTTTCATTGAGAAAGGGAAGACATGGTACTTTGATTAAGCGTGTTCTTAGCTTTGCTTTTTCTATCTTAATATGATCCCACTATTTTCATGGACTAATATAACATTTAACAATTGCAAATCTAGAGGAAGAATTACAATGTTACAAAACTGTATTTGGAAAAGGTGAATAAAATTAATGAGATTTTGGAAATCCATATTGCTTCTCACATATTTCAAGAGAACAATTAGCATTATAAACATTATAGCTGAAACAGCTTCCAAATGGGTGTTTATCCCAAATTCCCATTTAAACTTTAATATGTTTCTTTTGGTGGTCACGAAGGAAAATCATCCTTGGGGGAGAGAATAATATGGATAATTACTTTTTCTCTTTCCCTCTGTCTATGGAACAGATCAATGAATATGAAAGCTCAGAGCAGAAGGCAGAAGCTTGTTCTTGGCCACCTCTCATCTCCTTTATACAAACCAGAAACACCGCCCTCGCTTCCCGCTGCTGTTTCAAATAAAACTCACAGTGGCATCTCCGTAACTGTGAAAAGTCAGTTTCAGCTATCACCCTAAACTGCACATGGGGATCTAACAGTGTTGGTATTCTACAGGAAGATGAACAGAAAAGGGTGACTGGATATTTATTCCTGAAAACGTCTGTCAGAATTAGCTATTTGTTGTGGATATCATAATATTTCAAAAATCCTACCTTTAAAGTTTTAGCATTTGATGTTCTAGCCAAGAAATTTTCCCATGATTTATTAGCCAGTTCTCTTTGCTTGTGTGTGGCTTGTATCTGAAATGAGAAAGATAATTAAGAGTTCTAATTTCTATGAAAAAATACCAAAGGGCTTGAAAGACCTTATTTTGAAGGAAGACCTAGCTTTTGCCAAGGTAAATTTTAAGGCTAACTAGCAAAAAGATTAATCATAAAGTTCAACTTAAAACAACAAAAGTATTAAAATGGAAAAAAATCTTTCTTTCATTCTGTCTAGGGTTTGAACTGCTTTTCATGAAATGTAATACAAAACTGTTGTTATAACAATATAAAATATAAAACTTATATGCCTATATGCGTAACCCATGGACACAGACAACAGTGTGGTGAAGGCCTGGGGTGGGGTGGGAGCAGGGTGGAAGGGGACAGTGGGAGAAAGTGGAAATCATCTGTAATACTTTCAACAATACAGACGAATTAAAAAAATAAAGACGAAGAAAAAGTAAATTATATATAAAAATAACAATCGTTCTCAGCAAGACTGATTGTTTTACATAATCAGCACTTGTGAAGGTGATAATAATCCAGAACGAAATATTTGAATGACCCAACAACAAATGCACAGGAGAAAATAAAGAGATTCCTGCTGCTACTAATAAGAATTTAAACAAGATTATATCGGTAAAACTAGTTCTAATTTACGACTGCAGCAAGACAAGCAATTTTGTGAGTACTGAGTTGTGGTGATGCAGTCTAGGGAGGTAACTACTAACAAACTGCAAAAACTGTACTTGTCACGAGGACATCCATTAAGTATATAATCAGAAGACACTGGCCCTTGATTGGTGTCAACTATAATATTAAGTTTAAATTATGAACCTAGAAGTATTTAATTAAATAACTTAAAAAATAAGTGGGGTCAGAGCCATGATAAATCAAGAGTGACCGACATATCAACAATAGCTAGTCTACAGAGCAGACATTCTGTCACTCAGCAGAACTAATGAGGCTGCGGAACTTCCAAAAGGGCCACTCCACTTAAAAGCAAATAATGGGTTAAATGGTAGCATCCACACAATAAATCTTCTTAACAAACAAAACTTTTAAGCAAGGAGGTGTCTAAAACAGAATTCATAGGTGGATGCAGAGTTCCACTAGGCTGAAGCTATACATTTTAATAGCTTATGTGAAAGCAACAGGCAAAAGAAAACACTTTGGAAATCCCCTTAGAGGGTTTAAAATAGTTAACTGTAGTCATAAAGGATCACCAAGCATAAGTGGGGACTCTACACCATCTTTGCATTCTATGGACAAGTTAAACAGCCACTTAACCTATTTGCTCAGAAGCTTCTGATGTGTCAGTTTCCCACCGGCGTAAAGCTTTAGGAAAATGGCTCATATATTCCCGACAGGCCTTTTCTGATTAGCTGAAGTCAGAGACCTGTTTATCTCTGGATTTACAGAATGCTCCTAGTGTTTAGGCACGGAAGTGAGGATATGCCTATGGTTGGCATAGCAGAGGGAGGGTGAGGGCCAACTTTCTCAGTGAGGTTGTACCTATATACACAGGGATACACTGTTTGTCAGAGTTTGTTAAATAACCAATCATTTTTGGGTTTGACATTTCAAAAAAGGGAAGTGTATCAGGTGTCGTTACCTTTTGAAATGTAAGCTTGTAGATTAGAATGCCATTTAACACAGCACTGAATATAGTAATTGACTATCTTAACCTCTGAACTCCATGGTGTCTTTAAAAACTGTACAAAGATAGTGAAAGTAGCATAAGAGAAAACTATAAATAACTTTATGTGCGGAAACATTCACAAATAAGAAATATAGCCCTGGCCGGTTTGGCTCAGCAGTTGGAGCGTCAGCCTGCGGTACAGAGAAATATATATCCTATGGAGAACTTCAACTAGTGTATACAATGAAATTATTATCTTGTGTCTCAGTGGTAATTGTGGCTTACTTTTGCATACGCTTTTTGTTCATTTTGCACATCTTGGCGTGCTTGGCTTTCAGTCATCTCCCTTTGCAGAGAAGCAACCATCTTCCCAACATTTTCTGAAGCTGTTGTAATAGCTTCCAAAATATATTTATCTGTAGCGACTGGTTTTAACTTTTCTAATTTTATTTCTTCACATATTTCGTTCCATATTTCTCCAATCTGTTATAACAAAGTTTAAGTTTAAAAGAGTTAAATTAACTGAAAAGAAAAGATACAATTTTAGGTAATACTTTATTTTGATTGTTGTTCCAAAGTTAACACTTACTGACCCAACTTTTCCTAACTTACTCCTTAGGAATCAGTTAAGTGCATTGGGGATGATTTGGAGCACCAGTTACATCTGAGTATTCAGAAGTAATTTCAAACGTTTCTCAGTGATAAGGTATTCACGGATGAGGTTCCACTGCCTAAGTCTAGCTCCCTGCCATCATCACTGCCCTCGGGTTTAGTCTCTTAACAGCAGCAGAAACTGCTGCTTTAGTCTCAGCCTCCTGAATACTAATGTTTTCCTTCCTAAAGCTTTATGTTGAAGGATAACAGGCTAAATTTACAGGACAATGAACACGGGAATTCCTGGGACCCGAGAAAAAAACGGAAAAACCCAGAAAAACCGGGCCCTGCCCCTCACCTTCTTGCTAAAGCAGTAATTGAATCTCAAGCTCTTAACTCCATGGTTCTATCCAATTGAAAGCTCCATCACATATTCTGGGCTGTCTGGAAATTAATGTGCTTGAGTACGTTTAAATTTAAAGAAAAATTTATATATCCAGGATAGGGATAAAATTCAGTCTTATTTTCACTTGAAAAAAGAGGTTTATTCATACAACATTCAAATACATAATATACTAGTATTACTACAAGAAAATGTTTACTTGGAGAGACTTCCCTGAAACTTCAAAAGCATTTATTTACCAAAAATATAACCGCGTCCTAACTGGTTGCGCAGTCGTTAGAGCGCCAGCCCGGAGACCACTGAGTGGCGGGTTCGGTTCCAGTCAAGGGCACATAGTTCGGTTGCAGTTCATCCCTGGCCCTGGTCCAAGTCGTGCGGAGGCAACCAGTCGATGAGTCTTTCTCACATCCATGTTTCTCTCTCTCTCCCTCCCTCCCACTCTATCTGAAGATAAATAGAAAAATATATCCTCAGGTGAGGATTAAAAAATATATATATATATATATATATAATATATATATATATCCAGCAAGGTAAGCAACCTAATATTATTTAATTGACATTTGACCATCATATAAAATGATAAAATACTTTAATAAGTATTAATAATTTATTTATTTTTATCTTCACTTGAGGACATTTTTCCATTTTTTGTTCAGATAGAGCGGGAGGGAGAGAGAGGAAGAGAGAGAAAGAGAAACATCGATGTGAAGGGACGGGGACAAACTGCAACGGAGGTACGTGCCCTTAGCGGGAACCGAACCCGGGTCTCTCTGGACCGCAGGCCGATGCTCTAACCGCTGAGCCAAACCGGCCAGGGCTGTAATTTCTTCTCTTTATAGATCATTTAGGAGATAGAAATAAATGAATTATTGCTTATTAAAATAAATTATTGCCCTGGCCGGTTTGGCTCAGCGGTTGGAGCGTCGGCCTGCGGTCCAGAGAGACCCGGGTTCGGTTCCCGCTAAGGGCACGTACCTCCGTTGCAGTTTGTCCCCGGCCCTGGTTGGTCGTGCGGGTGGCAGCCACTCGATGTGTCCCTTCACATCGATGTTTCTCTCTCTCTCTCTTCCTCTCTCTCCCTCCCACTCTACCTGAACAACAACAACAACAAAAAAGGAAAAATGTCCTCGAGTGAGGATAAAAAAAAAAGAGAAGAAATTACATTTCATACATTCTGTTAGGCTTCTGAATACTCTATCTCTGTAACAGCCATCTGAGGAGACTGGGGCAGGCTAGGCAGCGAGGGACAGGACCGTGAGAAGGGAAGGCTGAGACACGTGGGGAGTTTGTGAGGACTGGGAGCTTGGCACACAGGCAGTGCACTTCAACCCACTACACAGTGTATCTGGAGGTTTATTCAGACTCTACAGATCTCAAAATAAAATTAAAATCAACATGAGAAACTGTGCCCCCAAGGCCAGAAACTCCCAGTCCCTGAGTAATAGAAATGAAAAGCTTATCTTGATTGCAAATTAGAAGCTTCTGAAAGGAGCACGGGCCAATTACATAACAAAAAAACCCAGAAAGGCTGGTTTCAGGCAAGAGGGGAATATCGATTATATAGTTCCTTTTTCTGGGACCCTGATGGGTTTGCAAATGAATTTTATTTAGTATTAAAGAAGATAGTGCCCTGGCCGGTTTGGCTCAGTGGTTGGAGCGTCGGCCTGCGGTACTGAGAGACCCGGGTTCGGTTCCCGCTAAGGGCACGCACGTACCTCGGTTGCAGTTTGTCCCCGGCCCTGGTTGGTCGTGCGGGTGGAAGCCACTCGATGTGTCCCTTCACATCGATGTTTCCCTTTCTCTCTCTTCCTCTCTCTCCCTCCCGCTCTATCTGAACAAAAAATGGAAAGATGTCCTCGGGTGAGGATAAAAAACAAAACAAAAAACAAAATAAAGAAGATAGTGCTGGTGATTCTGACCTACTCCAATTAATATACCTACTGGTTTCTGGGAGCAAAGCAAGAGGACTGCTGAATGAGTTTTGCTGCAAAATTATTGCAGAAAATCAGGTTACCTTAAAAAGGATTATAGGAAACCAAAATTGGATTTAGAAAAGAAACCAAAAGCAAGCATAGGGTTGCTCCAATGGTGTTTCCCCTCCTCCTCACTAATAGTCTGGGAAAAGTTGAAATTATCATAAAGAAGGAAGCCACTAAGGCCTCTATGGATACCTGGGGTTGCTTTATTTGTTCTTAACCACACCCAACTAAATTGTCTCTTCCCTGGGAGTAAAACTTCTGTACAAATGTCAGGGATAGCTAATCAATGTCTGTTTTTAAGTAAAAACCTGTCCACTTCTGAGTAGGGAATATTATGGGATAATATATGTCTTTGCTAATCAAATCTGCCTCAATTCACCTGATAGGGTGAGCTTTTTATTTAAAAAAATTTTTTTTCCCACCCTGGCTGGTTTGGCTCAGCGGTTACCCAGGTTCAGTTCCCACTAAGGGCATGTACCTCGATTGCAGTTTGTCCCTGGCCCTGGTTGGGTCGTGCAGGCGGCAGCCACTTGATGTGCCCTTTCATGTTGATGTTTCTCTCTCTCTCTCCCTCCCGTTCTATCTGAACAAAAAATAAAAAAATGTCCTCGGGTGAGGAAAAAAAAAAAATTTTTTTCCTTCACTGATTTTAGAGAGAGAGGAAGGGAGAGGGAGAGAGAGATAGAAATATTGATCAGAGAGAGCATCGACTGGCCACCTCCTACATGCCCCCGACTGGTGATTTGGCCCACAACCTGGGCATGTGCCCTGACTGGGAATCAAACTGCCGACCTCCTGGTGCATGGGTTGATGCTCAACCACTGAGCCACATTGGCTGGGCTAGGGCGAACTTTTTAAAATCAGTGATGCCCACATATGCTTTTCCCAGAAGGGTAATATGAATTTAGAGCTAGATGACCTAGGCTAAAGCCAGATAGGTAGGAAACACAAGCTTTAAAATGTATGGATGTTGCTAAGGCAGAATTCCTTGAAAGGACCAACTGGAGGTTAGCAAGACATACATCTACCCCTACCAGTGGTTCTCAACATTCCTAATGCCACGACTCTGTAATACAGTTCCTCATGTTGTAGGTGGGCGTATCTGCATGTGGGCGGAGACGGATGGAGGAGCGGTGCCTCGGTTCCTAAAACCATAGGAAATATGTGTTTTCCGATGGTCTTAGGCGACCCCTGTGAAAGGGTCGTTCAACCCCCAAAGAAGTCGCAACCCACAGGTTGAGAACCACTGCCCTAGACAAAGGAGCCTCACCGGCAACCCACTTGGGGCCCCTCCCGGCTGCAGAGAGACTGTCTGTTTTTCAAATAAATTTTGCTTTTGCTTGCCCCTTTGTCCATGAACTCATTCTTTCATTTTGCGAGACAACGAACCTGGATCCGATCACTGCTGCTTGGCTTCACATCTTCTTTTATAAACGAATAGTTGGATGAAATCTTATTCCATAGAAAATACACAATCAATTTTTTTGTATGTTTTTCGAATAGTATCAGATGCAAAATGAAAAATAAAAACTGCACAGTACAGGTGACTGCTCACAACTACAAACAGATTTTTTATTTCCCAGTTGATTTTTTTGCCATGCTAGATTTTAATAACAAGGTTAAGAAGATACTCACTTTAAAATCAAGATATCTATGTATGATACAAAGGGTGATAAAATCTTCAGTAGATAGGCCAGGTAAATTTTCAAAATCTAAACAAAGTTTGTAAAGAGAGAATTACTTTAACACAGCAAGTGATATATAAGCAAGTGATTATATATATATATATATATATATATATATATATATATATATAATCTCCTAAAAAAAATGCAAACAGTTACTTTTGAATTCATCTTGATTTATGACCAAGTTACTTCTGTGAGCTTCTTTCTACTGCAGGTCATCCTTACCTAGTCATTAAAGAGGAGTCGTTTCTGTGCTTTGGTCAGCCCATGATACTGTACTTTTAGAACCAAAGAGTGAGGACTTTTTTTCCTTAATAAGAAGCAAGGACTTATAAACAACTCAGGTGATTAAGAATTCTAGAGTTTACGCCTAGTCATCTAAACTAACTGCCTTTAATCCTGGTGCGAACTGGAATTGCCTGGGGAGATTTGAAAAAGACTGATGTCTGGGTCCCACACACCTTGATTTAAGTGATCAGAGTGTAGCCTGGACACAGGGATAACAATGGGACATGCATTTATTTGTATAAAGGGACTTTTGTTCACCATGTTGAAAAATGGGCTCCACAGCAAAATCAATTTATATATTTAGTAAAACAGAGAGGTGCTTGTCAATATGACAAGTAGTTTCTTACCTAGTTTGTCCAACACAGCATAAATTTTTGCTCTGATGTTCTCTGCAACATCCAAAATTGCAACAGTTGGGCAATTAGCAGGCAGTGCTATGATTTTTTGCTCTTCTTGAAAACTAGTAAATAGAGGTTTCTTTGTATCTAATCATTAGATGTCATGAAAACATAAAAAACATACTAAATTAATACTTAATTTTGAGATTTTAGTCGAGACATCATAATATATAAAAACAGTGTAACACAATAAAATAGTACCTTGTACATGGTTACTCTTTTGAAAGCATAAGTAATCTGTGATTTATTTATTCCCCATTCTGTGGCAAAACTTATAGTTTTCATTTTTATTATTTATGTAAGATATAAAAATTTCACAAAATTACTTTTTAAAAAGTGAAACTCTTGCCCTGGCTGGGTGGCTTCATTGGTTGGAGCACCATCCCATACACCAAAAGGTTGCAGGTTCAATTCCCAGTCAGGGCACATACCAAGCTTGTGGGTTTGATCCCTGGTAACGACCAGTCTGGTATCTGTGTCTATTACTTTTCTGATCTTTTAAAGATCTTTTTTTTAAAATCCTCAACCGAGGATATTTTTCCATTTGTCTTCAGATAGAGTGGGAGGGGCGGTGGAGAGAGACAGAGACATCATGTGAGACACATTGATCAGTTGCCTCCTGCATGACCCCAACCAGGGCTGGGGACCAAACCACAAGAGAGGTATGTGCCTTTGACTGGAATCAAACCCGTGACTCACTGGTCCATGGGCCAATGCTCTAACCCCTGAGCAAAACTGGCCAGGGCTAAAGATCTCTTTTTTAAAAATATACATCTAAATGTTGAAGGGTCTTCTTGAAGGAGAACAAAAATATGAACAATAAAATGTCAATTAATACATATCTAACAACAATTGAATCTACAAACAAAATGAGCAAGCAGACCAGAAACAGACTCATAGATACAGAGAACTTTGTTGCTTGCCAGATGGGAGGGGGCTGCGGGGATGGGTGAAAAAGATGAAGGAATTAAGTAGTACAAATTGGTTGTTAGACTGATGAACCTCAAAGGGAAGGGGGGAGGGAGGGCGGGAAGAGATAAATCAAAGAACTTCTATGCATATATGCATAACCAATGGACACCGACAATAGTGTGGGGAAGGCAGGAGGGGGGTGGGATTGGGGAGGAGGGGGTCAATAGGGGAAAAAAGGGGAGAACATTTGTAATACATTCAACAATAAAGATGAGTTAAAAAAATAAAAAATATGCATCTCATTGCTTGTACTAGCTATTATAAATACACTCACCAATAATTACCCCATGTTTATCACGTTTTACTCCTAGTTCTCTTTCTTCCTTTCTCCACAATTTAATTAAAAGACTTGCAGCTGTTTGGCTCTTCTTCCCTCGCCAAGCATTGACGTGAGCCGTAGTTTTGGGATTATCACAAAATTCAACCATTATTGCAAGTATGAGATTACAAAATTTTTTTTGGTTCAACTTTTGCAAGGAAACAGAAAAAGAAAAAAGTTGCAATAAATAATAAGAACTATTACCTTAAAAAAGGAGAAATATTTGTAGTAATCACTAAGTTTCCTCTAAATGATTGCCTTATAAAATTGAAACTCTAGCCCTGGCCGGTTTGGCTCAGCGGTTGGAGCATCGGCCTGCGGTACAGAGAGACCCGGGTTCGGTTCCCGCTAAGGGCACGCACGTACCTCGGTTGCAGTTTGTCCCTGGCCCTGGTTGGTCGTGCGGGTGGCAGCCATTCGATGTGTCCCTTCACATCGATGTTTCTCTCTCTCTCTCTTCCTCTCTCTCCCTCCGGCTCTATCTGAACAAAAAATGGAAAGATGTCCTCGGGTGAGGATAAAAAAAAAAAAAAAATTGAAACTCTACTTAAGTATGATTTGTGCTTGTTTCCTGTTAAAATAGATGTCCATTATAATGAATAAATTTTCAAACACTAGGAACTAAAAAGAATAAAAAGATTTAGTATAATTCTGATGTAGTTACACACACACATCATGACCTAAAATGAAATTGATTTGGTTGACTAGGAAAAAGGGAATGCAAACATAAGTAAAGACATTCATTTTAGGTGGAGCAAGGACAACAGTGCTGTATACAAGTCACTATAATAATAGAATCTTTCCAGTTTACATGCTCTAAGGTGTGTAAAAATTCAGTAGCTATACTCTCATTGTCACTAAGAGAAAAGCTGATGGTAATTGTAAGTGGTAGTCACATAAAATAATTAAAAATGAGGTGTAATTTTATATTTTAAAAATCAGCATCCATAAAAGAGCATTTAAGAATTTAAGAAAAAGTATCAAGCATAGTTCCTTTGTTCTGTTAGAACTAGTTTTCAGCTAACCAAAATTTAGGTAGAGAGAAGTGATCCACAGCAATGGCCTCCACACAGTGATGGTTTCTGTGTGAAATATTTTTTATTGATTTTTTTTTTTTTTTCCTCACCCGAGGACATTTTTCCATTTTTTGTTGTTGTTGTTCAGGTAGAGTGGGAGGGAGAGAGAGGAACAGAGAGAGAGAGAGAGAAACATCAATGCGAAAGGAACACATCGAGTGGCTGCCACCCGCACAACCGATCAGGGCTGGGGACAAACTGCAACCAAGGTACGTGCCTTTAGCGGGAACTGAAACCGGGTTTCTCAGGACTGCAGGCCAACGCTCTAACCGCTGAGCCAAACCGGCCAGGGCTATTTTTTATTGATTAACTCTTATAATATACTGCTAATAGAATAGCAAAGAAAACATGTAACCTATTGTTTGAATTATAAACATTTACTGTTTCCTCTTATATTAAATGAAGGATAACAATATTTACCTGCTTCAGAGATTGATTATGATGAGTCATATGAGATTGCCTGTCACACAGAAAGCTCTCAATAATATTTAACCACTATTAGCAATTCTTATTATTATTGCACACTGAATAACTATTTTAGCAGATTATATTAAGCAAAACGCTCAATAAAATATTTTTTATTTTTATAGGAATTTTTATTTTTCAATTACAGTTTACATTCAATATTATTTTGTATTAGTGTCAGGTATATAGCATAGTGGTTAGACAATAATGCACTTTACAAAGTGGTCCCCCCAATATTTCAAGTACCCACCTGGCACTGTACATAGTTATTATAATATCACTGACTATATTCCTTATGCTGTACTTTACATCCCTGTGACTATTTGGTGACTAACAATTTGTACTTCTTGATCTCTTCACCATTTTTTTTTTCTTTTTATCTTCACCCGAGGATATTTTTTCCATTGATTTAAAAAAAATTTTATCCTTATTGTTGAAAGTATTACAGATGTCCCCTATTTTTTACCCCACTGACCATCTCCTCCCTGCTCCTGCCCCGCTCCTGCCTTCCCCACACTATTGTCCGTGTCCATTGGTTATGCATATCAATTCTTTGGTTTATCCAGTTTTTTATTTTTATACTACCCTTTAGGAGAAGGGTTGAGGTTAATATGAAAACTTCGTTGAAGAATGTTTATAATTGCAAGTTATAATTTAACTTGACTGGTTCAAAATTACATTAAGCACAATCTAATAATTACATTCATAAAAATAGAAAACAATTGCATAGCAAAAATATGTGTCAGAAACTATTCTTTTTCTTTTTGTTAATCCTCACCTAAAGATATTTTTCTATTCGTTTTTAGATAGTATGGAAGGGAGGAAGAGAGGGAGGGAGGATGAGAGGGAGAGAGAGAGAGAGAGGGAGAGAGAGAGAGAGAGAGAGAGAGAGAAAGAGATGTGAGACCGACATATCAATTGGTTGCCTCCTACACAGCCCCAACTGGGGCCTGAGATCAAACCTACAACCCAGGTACTGCCCTTGACCGGGAATCAAACCTGAGACCCTTCAGTTGGCGGGCCAACACTCTAACTGCTGAGCCAAACTGGCCAGAGCAGTTTTCTTTTTCTTCTTCTTTTTATTTTATTTTATTTAAACTTATCTTTATTGTTGAATGTATTATAGATGTTCCTCATTTTTCCCCTATTGACCTCCTCCTCCCCGCTCCTGCCCCACCTCCAGCCTTTCCCCATACTGTTGTCTGTGTCCACTGGTTATGCATATTTGCATATAAGTCCTTTGGTTTATTTCTCCCCTCCCAATCCCCCTTCCCTTTGAGGTTTGTCAGTCTAACAACCAATGTGTCCTTCTTAAACCCTTCACCTTTTTCACCCATTCTCCCAAACCCCCTCCCATCTGGCAACCAACAAAATGTTCTCTTTATCTATGAGAATGTTTCTGTTCTGCTTGTTCATTTTGTTTGTAGATTCAATTGTCAATAGATATATATCGATTGCCATTTTGTTTGTTCATATTTTTTATCTTTTTCTTCAAGAAGACCCTTCAACATTTCATATAATAATGGTTTGGTGGTGATGAACTACTTTAGCTTTTTCTTGTCTGGGAAACTTTTTATGGCCATGGATTCTAAATGACAGCTTGGCAGGATAGAGTAATCTTGGTTATAGGTTCTTGCTTTTCATCACTCTGAATATTTCTTGCCACTCCCTTCTGGCCTGCAAAGTTTCTTTTGAGAAATCAGCTGACAGTCCTATGGGAACTCCCTTGTAGGTAACTAACTGCTTTTGCTACTTTTAAGATTCTCTCTGTCTTGAACCTTTTGCATTTTTTAAAATTCAATTTATTATTATTATTAATTTTTGGTACATGCCCCTAGCAGGAACTGAACCCGAGACTCTGGTCCACAGGCCAACGCTCCAACTGCTGAGCCTAACCAGCCAGGGCAGACCTTTTGCATTTTTTTTTTTATTCTCACCTGAGGACATTTTTTGATACTTTGTTCAGATAGAGTTGGGGGGAGGGAGAGAGAGAGAGAAACATTGATGTGAAAGGGACACAATGAGTGGTTGCCACCTACACGACCCAACCAGGGCCAGGGACAAACTGCAACCGAGGTACGTGCCCTCAGCGGGAACCGAACCTGGGTCTCTCCGGACCGCAGGCCAACACTCTAACCGCTGAGCAAAACTGGCCAGGGCGACCTTTGCATTTTGATGATGATGTGTCTTGGTGTGGGCCTCCTGGGGTTCATCTTGTTTGGGACTCTGTGCTTCCTGGACTTATATGTCTGTTTCCTTTGTGCTGGCATGTTTATAACCCCGTAATTGATGATTGGTAAATATTGTGCTGCTCCATAACTGATAATTGGGAAAGTCACTGTATGCTCTCTAGCTGAACCTATTTAGTCAAAATAACTTCAGTAAATTGGAATACTCCCTGACCCAAGAAATTGCTGGGAACCGGCTATGTGTCTGACAGAGTCCACAGAGCCTGGAGGTCTTGAGTCAGACTCGACCTTCCCCACAATCTCAAGGAATTAGGCTTACATTGTGTTTGTGCATCTTGGGGCTAAGTGTGACCCAAAGTACCTTGAAATACCTGAAATACCTGGGTGTTCCTGGGTGTGCCTGGGTGTTCCTGTTATCCATAAGGCAAAATAATTCTATACAGCATTGTTGTGGCCCTGGGCATTATATCAAGAAGATCCTATTTTCTGTAAGGTATAAAGGCATATCGGGGCTGATTCAGAAGATTCTGTCACGGGGTGTTCGGAATCAGACGCCAGCCGGCTAATATACGGTCTTATTTGGACTTCAATTCTCTAGTGGTATTTCTTTGACTCTGTCACACCACAACATTTGGAGGCCCCAGGGCTGGTCTCCGAGAACTCAGGATCAGTCGCAGGCCAGCTTTGCTCTCTATTTGGCTTTAACTTGGCTCTGGTGGTCTCTTGGTTCTGTTGCGCCACAACATCTTCACCAAGTTAGGGAAGTTTTCTGTCATTATTGTTTCAAATAGGTTTTCAATTTCCTGTTCTCTCTCTTCTTCTTCTGGCACCCCTAAGATGCGAATGTTGGTACGCTTGAAGTTGTCTCAGAGGCTCCTTACACTATCCTCATTTTTTTGGATTCTTTTTTCTTTTTGCTGTTCTGATTGGGGGTTTTTGCTTCCTTATATTCCAAATTGATGGTCTGCTTCTTGGCTTTACCTACTCTACTACTCAATCTGTGTAAATTATTCTTTATTTCAGTTAGTGCCTCCTTCATTTCTCACTGTGCACTCTTAATTTCTGATTGGCCCTTTTTAATGCTCTTGAGGCCTTCACTAAGTTCATTTAAATTCTAAGTTCACTGAGCATCCTTATAAGCAGTGTTTTGAACTCTGCATCTGTTGGGTTGCTTATCTCCATTTCACTTAGTTCTTTTCCTAGAGTTTGTTCTGTTCTTTCATTTGGGACCTGTTTCTTTGTCTCTTTATTTTGGCTGCCTCCCTGTGTTTGTTTCTATGTATTACTTAATGAGAGGTATGGGGCTAGCTGAGACCAGATGCTGCTTGTTTGAAAGAATTTAGGAAAACCTGAAGCAGGTTCCAAGGCAGGCCAATCCTATGGTAAAGTAACTGGCAACAGCTTGGGTGGGCCTGAAAGTTGGGTGGGGCGGGGCTTCAGGGAATCACCAGGACGGGGCTACCAGTGTGAGCCAGGTTGCTGGAGTCCTAGATATGGCAGCCGTCTGCCGCCCCAGAGGACTCATCAAAAGAACAAAGTCCTCTGACAGCATGTCTGTCTGTCCAGAAGAAGCTGCCTCTCCAGCCCTCACTCCAATGCCAAACAGCTCAGTTCTTCCCCATATGTCTCTGGTGCCTTTCAAGCTGCCTCCTCCATGCTGGAGCCTGGAGGGAACAAGTCTGAGTAAATCCATGTGCGGGCCCTTTAAGAGGAGCTGCCTGGGGCTCCCGCAGCCTCAGCCTCCCTCAGCCTCAGTTACTGCTGGGTTTACAGCCAGAAGTAATGGGGATTCTCTTCCTGGCACTGGAACCCTGAGCGGGGTGCCTGGTGTGGGACGGGGACCCCTCAGTCCTCAGGGAGGTCCTTCCCAGCCGAGGTATCCTCCTGATTTTTATCCACCACACGTGGGTGTGGGACCAGCCCGTCCGCCTCCGCTCCTCCTACCAGTCTCAGTGTGGCTGCTTCTTTAATTTCGTAGATGTAGGACTTCCATTCAGCAGGCAGTTTTGAATGATGGTTGTTCTGTTTTGAATGATGGTTGTTCTGTAGTTTAGTTGATTTCAGGCAGTTTTTTTTTTTTTTTTTTTTTTTTTATCCTCACCTGAGGATATTTTTCCATTTTTTGTACAGATAGAGTGGGAAGGAGAGAGAGGAAGGGAGAGAGAGAGAGAAACATCGATGTGAAAGGGACACATCGAGTGGCTGCCACCCGCACAACCAACCAGGGCCGGGGACAAACTGCAACCGAAGTACGTGCCCTTAGCGGGAACCGAACCGGGTCTGTCCGGACCGCAGGCCAATGCTCTAACCGCTGAGCCAAACTGGCCAGGGCTGATTTCAGGCAGTTTTGAATGATGGTTGTTCTGTAGTTTAGTTGTAACTTTGTGGTTGTGGGAGGACGCAATACCATGTTTACCGATGCCGCCACCTTGACCGGAAGTCTCAGAAACTATTCTAACTAGTGTTAGAATAACATTGCGTGTATAAATGAATATAAAGTGTATATACATATGTAGGTGCACATGTACTCATGCACACACATTTCACTCATAACCTCCCAACAATGCACGAGGCAGATACTACTGTTATCTTTGTTTTGAAGTTGATATCAGAGATGTTAAAAAAACTTGCCCAAGTTATAGAGCTAACAAGTACTGGATTCCAGCCTATGCTCACACTTACTGTGCTATACTATTTGTCTTCCCTATGCTCACACTTACACTGTGCCATGTGACTTGTCCTACCTGTGCTCACACTTATTGTTCCATGTGACTTATCCTACCTGTGCTCACACTTACTGTGCCATGTGACTTGTCCTACCTGTGCTCACACTTTGTGTCATATGCTTTGTCCTACCTTCGCCGTCTTTGTACCTTTCCATCAAAGAAACCCTAACGGCAAAGGACAGATTCCAGGAAGATGAGCCAAATTACTTTGGGACTTTGAGAATCCCGACACATTACCAGTGCCCCGGGGCACACTTGTACTGTGTTCAGGGAAACATGGTGAGTGGCACATCACTTAGGACCACATTAGTAGAGCTACACATACATTCGTCTGTATATGTTCAATTTTCTGAACTTTCCAAGAGTTTCTGGTTAAGACTCAATCCTGTTTATCGAGATGGGTTATTTTAATTATTATCATAATTATTATTTACTTACTTTTGTCTGTAATGTTTTATATCTGATGAGCTTATTCTCTTATCTCTGGTGTCAACTCATTTTCTTTTTTAAAATGTAATTTATTTATCTTTTTGCCTAGTTGAGGTTTTTACAAATATTATTATTTTTTTTTGCATGTGTCAGTACTTTTAATGTTCTTTACATAAAATGATAGTAAAAAGAGGACTATAAACATGATGTCGCCCCTCCATTTCCATGGTCAGCACACTGCATTACAGTAAACCAAGTGTATGTTCCACCATCAAGTGTGGTTCTCCCATTAGTCCACTTTGTGATGGGTCATTAAGAATATCTTCAAATCAGATAGTCTCATCACTACCCCTCAAAATATCCAGTGAAAGGTTTGAGCTTGGAAGAAATGGAAGACGCTGAACCTATTGCACTGCCTTGAATTCCATTTGCAATTTTAGTGGAGCAAACAGACCCTGGATGTTTCTCAGTGTAGAAAAATTCATTTTATCTTGGTTGAGCTGGAAATTTTTTTCTGATAATTCAAGAGGATGACTGGGCAAAAGTTCATTTTTCACACAAGAAAAACCTTTTCGAAGGAGATCATGATTTTCAAAAGGTCCACTTGCGGAGAGCTCAGTAACTGGAGTACTGTCCTTTAGCTGAGGTCCAAGTCCTCTGGTATTCATCTTCTCAGCACGGTTACCGTCAGCCAGCCCTGCCGCTCACTTCCGTTTCCCCAGATATTTTTCAATTACAGTTTACATTCAACTAATTTTCTTTCAGAGAAATGAAAGCACACTAAATATGTTAGCACCTTTGCTAAATCAAAGTTGGTTCATTACTCTCAATAAAATAAGGAGTGATGGCTACCAACAGTGACACAGCTAGAACTCTGTGAGAACACCTCCCAGTTTCATTAAAACAAAACTATACTTTTTTCCCCATATCATTTTGACAATGAACTCACTCATAACTGAGAGGGTTACTTTGAGGATAAATGAGGGTCTTTGCTATTCTTCACAGCTGCTAACTGGCAACCCTCTTTCCTGGAAGACTTTGTATGCTCACTCCTGCTTATTCTATAAAAAGGTCCATGACACACTAGCTTCTTTACAATATCTACAAATTATACACATTTCTTAAACATGCTGATCTTGACTCCTTTCTCTAATGTGGTCCTTAATTTTTATGTTTTGTTTTGTTTTTGTTTTTATCCTCACCCAAGGACATTTTTTTTTTGCACTTATCCTCAGATAGAGCAGGAGGGAGAAAGGGAAGAAGAGAGAGAGAGAGAAAAACATAGATGTGAAAGAGGCACATTGACTGGTTGCCATCCACAGCACCCCAACCAGGGCCGGGGACAAACTGCAACCAAGGTACGTGCTCTTAGCGGGAACCGAACCCAGGTCTCTCTGGTCTGCGGGCTGACGTTCTAACCGCTGGGCCAAACTGACCAGGGCATGGCCCTTAATTTTTAATACGAAGAGAAGAAGCTAGAAGTTATTAAACGACGACAGGTTTTTATATAGTCAAACACTTCACACACTGTTTCTTTAAAGGTTGGTGGGGAAAAAACCCCATACAACAAATGCTCTGCTGTCATTCTCTGTTTGGGAACACTGTCCTAAATAAACTGATTTCTTCACTGGAGGAATTTTCAGAGCCTTTAATATGTGAATGCATATTATAAATCTCCAATAGAGAGTTTGATTAAAACAAACATTTGAGTACTCTGGGGGCACATTTAATTACAAAATAATGCTTTATGGTACTCAGTTTGAAAGTGTTCATAAAGACATTTATTTTTGTTTTATAATTGTTATAATCATACTTACTGCCAATAAATCCAAAAGGAGAAAAATGCCTTCCTTTTCAAGAAAGTAATCCTCTGAGGAATAACAAGCCAAAATGCAGCACCTTAAATAAAAAAGGAAGTTATTCATTTAACAAGGATTTATTGTTAAACTCAATTTGTCAGTTTATTTCCATGAAAATTTTTTTCAAAGTATTTTTACTGTTTCTGAAATTGAGTAATTTTTTTTACTTAAAAATTGAACTTTGAAGAGAGTTTTACTTTGCCAGTGTAGTTTAATTTTAACTATTTTAAAACCACTATCAATGACTTCTTTTTCATAGCTGCCTGTTTCTCTTCTGCAGATGCAGTATTCTCCTTTGCTTTCATGATATTAATTACTCTTAAAGGTGTCCTCTAGCAACTGGTTACTCTAGCAACTGTTTCTTCAAAATTTATCAATTGATTGTTTCTTTCACAGTGTTGGTATGTCTCATTTGATGATTTTTAATTTCATTTTATCTTTGCGGTTGAGATGATTTGAAAGTGCTGCTGCTGAGGCCTGTGCATTTCACAGGGAGTGAGGGACTGAGGTTGCGGCGGAGGCCACTTTGCAGTGCTTTCCTGGGTGGGGGATGGGCAGAGGGTGAACAAGCTGTGCAGCTGCTGCTGGTGGTAAACAGCAGCAGAGGCAGATCTCCAGTATTTCTCCCAAGCACTGGAAGCTTGCTCGAGTCAAATGTCTGTGTCCCTTTCCTATTTAATATGACTATTAATTATTTATGGTTCAATATTAATTTGTAATTACTTAACATGGCTTCCTCTATAAAAAAAAAAAAAAAGAGAGAGAGAGAGAGAAAGACCCTTGTTTCTACGGCAATGGTGGCTGTGAGTATGTGGAGGTGGTGGGGTTGGTACAAAAAGGTCAGCTGGCCCCTCTGACTCAGGTATTTCCAGGCTTTACCACCTCATTTTGTTCCCTTTTTTTTTTTTCTTTTTAAAAAAATCTTTATTGTTGAATGTATTACAGATGTTCCTCATTTTCCCCTCCCCATTCCAGCCCCCCTCCCACCTTTTCCCACACTGTTGTCTGTGTCCATTGGTTATGCATGTAAGTTCTTTGCTTTATTTCTTCCCATCCCCCAACTCCAGGTTTGCCAGTCTAGCAACCAATTTGTTCTTAATCCCTTCACCTTTTTCACCCATTCCCCCAACTCCCCTCCCATCTGGCAATCAACAAAATGTTCTCTGTATCTATGAGAATGTTTCTGTTCTGCCTGTTCATTTTGTTTGTAGATTCCATTGTCAATAGATATGTATCCATTGCCATTTTGTTTGTTCATATTTTTGATCTTTTTCTTCAAGAAGACCCTTCAACATTTCATATAATAATGGTTTGGTGGTGATGAACTCCTTTAGCTTTTCCTTGTCTGGGAAAGTCTTTATATGGCCATCGATTCTAAATGACAGCTTTGCAGGATAGAGTAATCTTGGTTGTAGGTTCTTGCTTTTCATCACTCTGAATATTTCTTGCCACTCCCTTCTGGCCTGCAAAGTTTCTTTTGAGAAATCAGCTGACAGTCTAATGGGAACTCCCTTGTAGGTAACTCACTGCTTTTCTCTTGCTGCTTTTAAGATTCTCTCTGTCTTGAACCTTTTGCATTCTGATGATGATGTGTCTTGGTGTGGGCCTGTTGGGGTTCATCTTGTTTGGGACTCTCTGTGCTTCCTGGACTTGTATGTCTGTTTCCTTCACCGAGTTAGGGAAGTTTTCTGCCATTATTGTTTCAAATAGGTTTTCGATTTCTTGTTCTCTCTCTCTTCTTACACTATCCTCATTTTTTTGGATTCTTTTTGCTGTTCTGATTGGGTGTTTTTGCTTCCTTATATTCCAAATCAATGGTTTGCTTCTTGGCTTTACCTACTCTACTACTCAATCTGTGTAAATTATTCTTTATTTCAGTTAGTGCCTCCTTCATTTCTGACTGTGCATCCTTCATTTCTGATTGGCCCTTTTTTATGCTCTTGAGGCCTTCACTAAGTTCATTTAAATTCTCACTAAGTTCACTGAGCATCCTTATAAGCAGTGTTTTGAACTCTGCATCTGTTAGGTTGCTTATCTCCATTTCACTTAGTTCTTTTCCTAGAGTTTTGTTCTATTCTTTCATTTGGGACCTGTTTCTTTGTCTCTTTATTTTGGCTGCCTCCCTGTGTTTGTTTCTATGTATTACTTAATGAGAGGTATGGGGCTAGCTGAGACCAGATGCTGCTTGTTTGAAAGAATTCAGGAAAACCTGAAGCAGGATCCAAGGCAGGCCAGTCTTGTGGTGAAGCAACTGGTAACAGCTTGGGTGGGCCTGAAAGTTGGGTGGGGCAGGGCCTCAGGGAATCACCAGGGTGTGGCAAACAGTTTCAGCCAGGTTGCTGGAGTCCCAGATATGGCTGCGGATTGCCAGCCCTGTGGGGGAAGGGCTCACCAGAGGAACAAAGGCCTCTGACAGCACGTCTGTGCAGGAGAAAGCTGCCTCTCCAACCCTCACTCCAGTGCCAAACAGCTCAGTTCTTCCCTGTGTGTCTCTGGCGCCCCTCAAGCTGCCTCCCCTCCAAGCTTAGAGGGAGAGAATCTGATAAGTCTGTGCACCAGCCCTTTAAGGAGCTACCTGGGCTCCAGCCGCCTCAGCCTCCCTGAGCCTCAGTTCCCGCTGGTTTTTCCAGTCAGAAATTATGGGGACTTCTCTTCCTGGCACTGTAACCCTGAGCTGGGCACCTGGTGTGTTTGTGGGGGTCCCTCAGTCCTCAGGGAGGACCTTCCCAGTCAAGGTGTCCTAATTTTTATCCGCCACACGTGAGTGTGGGAGCAGCCAGTCTGCCTATGCCCCTCCTACCAATCTCAGTGTGGCTGCTGCTGCTTCTTTTTTTTTTAATCCTCACCTGAGGATATTTTTCTATTTATCTCCAGATAGAGTTGGAGGGAGAGAGAGGAAGAGAAAGGGAGAGAGAGAAACATCGACGTGAAAGGGACAGATCGCGTGGCTGCCACCTGCTCAACCAACCAGGGCCGGGGACAAACTGCAACCGAGGTGCATGCCCTTAGCGGGAACTGAACCCGGGTCTCTCTAGACCGCAGGCTGACACTCTAACCGCTGAGCAAATGGCCAGGGCTTGGCTGCTTCTTTAATTCGGTAGTTGTAGGACTTCCATTCAGCTCCATGCCAGCAGTTCTGAATGATGGTTGTTCTGTAGTTTAGTTGTAATTTTGACATGGTTGTGGGAGGACGTGACCTACGCTGCCATCTTGACTGGAAGTCTTTCTATTACTTATTTTTTCTACCTTATCTCTTATCCCAAGGGATTTGAAGTTTGTTATAATAAAAGACACAGATAAATAAAACCATAATCTATTAATTTTTAGTATAACTGTGATGTAGTAAATAAAGAAGGAATAAATCATCAAGATATTTTCTGCAGTAACCTCTTAATCCCAATATATTATTAAGGATGATACTTATTAATACTCATCTTAATATTTTACTATGCTTAATACAGTGCTTTGGTCAATAAGAATTTGTCACTGAAACTTAAGATCAGGTTTTCATGTTTATCACTCTCTCTCTCTCTCTTCTCTATAGTAAAAAAGAAACTAGATAGCTGAGTACTTCCATTGTCTATGTGTATCTGGATGAAAGCTGAGTAGTCCTCTATATTAAATAGTGAATTTGCAATAGGTAAAACTACTTACTTGATCTTATGGAAAGTAGTATTCATCAGTTTCCCCCATCCCCAACTTTATTTAGGTATAAGTGGAATACAAAAATCTGCATATAATTAATGTGTGCAATTTAGTGAGTTTGGACATATGTATATTACTATCACTACAACCCACGTAATAAAAATATCAGCTATAAAAGTTTCCTGTGTCCCTTTGTGGGTTATGTTTGTTTCTGTAATAAGAACACTTAACATGAGATCTGCCCACTTAACAAATTTTAAGTACACAATACTTACAATAGGCACTGTTATATAGCAGATCTCTGAAATTTACTAATGTTGTATAACTGTAACTTTATACTCATTGAACAACAACTCATACCTCCTCACCTTATCATTCTACTGTCTACATACCATTGTCTACTTCTATAATTTTGTCTATTTTAAAGAAATTATGTTTAAGAGATGCCCTTTTGTGAATGCCTTATTTCACTTGGCATAATGTCGTCCAGGTCCATTCATATTACTGCAATGTGTATTTCCTTCTTTTTAAAGGTTGAGTAATATTCCATTGTATGTACATACCATTTTTTGTTTATCTATTCATCTATTGATGGAGATTTGGGTTGTTTCCCTATCTAGGCTATTGTGAATAATGCTGCTATGAACATAGTGCCACTGTCTCTTCAAGATTCTGATTTCAAATCTTTGGGACACATACCCAGAAGTGGGATTGTTGGATCACATGGTAATACTATTTTTATTTTTTTGAGGCACCTCCATACTGTTTTCCATAGTGGCCACACACCATTTTACATTCCCACCAAAAGTGTATGAGAGTTCCCTTTCTGCACATCCTCAACCAACACTTGTATTTTTTATTTTATTTATTTATTTATTTATTTATTTAATCAATCCTCACCTGAGTACATTCCTGCATTCATCTTCAGATAGAGCGGGAGGGAAAGAGGGAGAAAGAGAGAGAAACATCGATGTGAGAGAGACACATCGACTGGTTGCCACTCACATGACCCCAACTGGGGCCAGGGACAAACTGCAACTGAGGTACATGCCCTTAGGGGGAACCGAACCCGGGTCTCTCTGGTCTGCAGGCCGATGCTCTAACTGCTGAGCCAAATCGGCCAGGGCTTGTTCTCTTTTTTAAATAAATATATTGTTATTGATTTTTCTAGAGAGAGAGAGAAACATCGATGTGAGAGAGAGACATCGATCAAACCTACAACCTGGGCATGTGCCCTGACCGGGATTGAACCGGGACTTCTCAGTCCATGGGACGATGCTCAATCCACAAGCCACACCAGCTAGGCATATCTTTTGTTTTCTTGATAACCATCATAACAGGTGTGAGGTGTTATCTCATTATAGTTTTGATTTGCATTTTTCTGATGATTACTTGTTCCATATGAATTTTAGGACTGTATTTTTTATTTCTGTCAAAATATCTTTATGATTCTTATAGGGATTGCATTTAATCTATATATTACTTTGGCAGTCTGAAAATTTAAACAATATTAATTCTTCCAATTCATGAACACGGACGTCTTTTCATTTATTTGTATCAGGTTTAATTTCTTTCATTAGTGTTTTATAGTTTTCAATGTATAAGTCTTTCACCGTCTTGATTGTATTTATTCCTAAATTATTTTATGCTTTTTGGTGCTGTTGCCAATGTGATTATTTTTTTAATTTCCTTTCCAGATAGTTCATTATTGGTGTGCAGAGATGCGACTGATTTTTGTATGTTGATTTTGTATCCCATAACTTCACTGAATTTATTAGTTCTAACAGTTTTTTTGGTGGGGTGTTCAGGGTTTTCTACATATGAGATCATATCATCTGCAAACAGATAATTTTACTTCTCCCTTTCTGGTTTAGACACCTTTTCTTCTAGAGCTTATAGTACTATGCTGAATAGAAGAGGTGAGTGGGCATCTTTGCCTTGCTGCAGATCTTAAGAAAAGCTTTCAGCTTTTCGCCACCGAGCGCGATGTTAGCTGTGGGCTTTTCATATATGGCCTTGATTTGTTGACACATTTCTTCTCTACCTAACTTAGTTGAATTTTTATCATGAAAGTGTGTTGAATTTTGTCGAGTGCTTTTTTCTGCATCTATTGAGATGCCTATGTGCTTTTTCTCTTTTTCTGTTAATGTGGTGTATCACACTGATAGATTTGCATATCCTAAATCATTCTTGCATCCCAGAGATAAATAAATCCCACTTGGTCATGGCATATGATCCTTTTAATGTAATGTTGAATCCGGTTTACTAATAGTTACTAGGGGACTTTTGTATTCATGTTCATGAGGAATATTGATTGATCTGTAGTTTTTTCTCAGGGAGTCTTTGTCTGGATTTAGTATAATGGTGATATTGTTCTCATAAAATGAATTTGGAAGTGTTCCCTCTTCTATTTTTTGGAACAGTTTAAGGATTGGTATTCATTATTTAAATATTTGGTAAAATTTACCTGTGAAGCTACCTGGTCTCAGGCTTTTTTTTGTTGGGAAATTTTGACTGCTGATTCAGTCTCCTTATTGTTAGTTCTGTTCAGGCTTTCCATTTCTTCTTGACTCAGTCTTGGTAGGCTGTATGTTTCTAGGAATTTATCCATTTATTCTATGATGTCCAATTTGTTGATATATAATTATATATAACAGTCCTTTATAATCTTTTTTTTTTATCCTCACCTGAGGACATTTTTCGATATTTTGTTCAGATAGAGTGGGAGGGAGAGAGAGAGAGAAACATTGACATGAAAGGGACACATCGAGTGGCTGCCACCCGCACCCGACCAACCAGGGCCGGGGACAAACTGCAACTGAGGTACATGCCCTTAGTGGGAACCGAACCCGGGTCTCTCTGGACTGCAGGCCGATGCTCTAACCGCTGAGCCAAACCGGCCAGGGCTTAGTTTGTTCTTTGTTTTCTTGTTCATTGTGGTATAAAGTTAGGTTGTTCGAATCTTGCTTCTTTTCCAATGTAAGCATTTATCACTATCAACTTCCCTCTTAGCACTGCTTTTGCTGTATTACATAAGTTTTAGTATGTTGTGTTTCCATTTTAGTTTGTATTGAGAAATTTTCTAATTTCCCTTTTGTTTTTGTCTTTGACCCGGTGGTTATTTCAAGAGTTTGATGTTTAATTTGGACTCAGTTGTGAGTTTTCCTGATTTTCTTTTGTTATTGATTTCTAGTTTTATTCCACTGTGGTCAGAAAAGATATTTAGAATTATTTCTGTCTTCTTAAATTTACTAATACTTGTTTTATGACCTGGCATGTGATCTATCCTAGAGAATATTGCATATGCACTTATCAAAAAAACTCTGTCTTTCCTCAACACTATACTTTCAATGATTCACTTTTGGCCACCAAATATGTGGGCTTCCCCCCCCCCACCACCAATCACATCTTCAATTATGTGCAGACACCACCCAGATGTCCTACAGTTCAATTCAATTCTAACACTATCTACCTGGAATTGACATCAGAGCTTACAGGTAAAAGGCTGAGTCCCACAAGACTGTACTGCCTTCCTGCCCCCACCTTGGATTCTAATTCATGTTGTCCCCTGAGCTTCTAACCAATCAGCTATATATTAGATGTTCCACCCCTCCTTGGGATGCAAAACTTGTTGAAGAGGCTCGCAGAACTAAGGAAAACAATGTACTTATTAGATTACTGTTTTGTTATGAAAGCATACAACCTGGGAACAGCCAGATGGAAGAGATGCACAGGGCAGGGTAGGGAGAACCTCTATATGTTCAACAAGTTGGAAGCTCTCTCTGTCTTATAGTTTAGGATTTTTATGGATGTCTCATTATGTAGGCACAACTGATTAAATCATTGGCCATTGGTGACTAAACTCAATCTCCAGCTTCTTTCCCCTTCCTAGAGGTTGAGGGTAGGGGTGAAAGTTCCAACTCTCTAGTCAATTATATGGTTGGCTCCCTTGGCAAATGGTCCCCCCCATTCTGTGGCTATCTAGGGGCTTTCCAAAAATCATCTTATTATCCTGAAATCAGACGTGACTTATTATGAATAACAAAATGTATATTACTCTGGAAATATTATAGAAACTGAGAATAAAAGACCAAATATTGTAACAATAGATGCTCCTTTGCTCTTATTGACTAAAAAATGACAAGTGTTTTAGGAACTTGGTAATAGACACGGACCAAATCTATATTTCTTATTATAAACCACAATATCACAGCACTTGAAAAGAATATGTATTCTGCTGCTACTGGGTAGAATGTTCTGTATATATCTGTTAAGTTAATTTGATCTATAGTTATCAGAGTTTATTTATAATGTGCTGCAGTGTGACTTTCATGAATATCACCCAAACAGAGAACTAAAGAAATATATTAAGTGTTAATGATATATGAAACTCAAGTAATTTTCTCCAAGACAAAATTTTGTAAATTTACATTAAGAAAAGCAGTATTTTTTTTATTATTATTAGAAATGCTACAAAGTTTGGGAACTAATATTGGTTAGGAAATACCCAATGAGTTTTCAACTCACTGAAGAAAAGATGAATGAGGAATTCAACAATCTTCAAGTATATAATAATACTATATGAGTAATAATAGATGCTAGTGTTTTCCCAGACCAGGCTAAAATGGAATGGGTTCAAATCACAAAAACCAGAATTTAACTTTAGATACAAGAATTGTTTTATATTTGAGTGACAGATAAGATTACTTTCTAAAGGACACTGGTAAGTGTCATTTCTGGGTGATTGAAGAGAAAAGGGCATTGAGAGAGTTAACTCTCTGGTGTAATTTTGAAGGAAGAAAGTTGGCATACATAACTATAGAGGTAGTTTTCTTGTACTGTGATTTCACCTAACTTGGGTACAGTAATACTCACCAAATGCTGTCCAATGTACTAAAAAGAAGTACATTATAGCCTAATCCACTCTGAAACTTCTTGGGGTCTATTTTCATTACATGAAGAATTATATCCACTCCTTCAGTTCCAAAAATTTCCTAAGAGATTTATTTAAAATTATTCTTGAAATAAATTAATAACCCCTTCTTTTCCCATTTCATTCTGTCCCCTAAACCTTCTTCTATCGGACAAATACAACATTGTTAGAAAAATAGGGCTTTTAATACAATTTTTGTTTGTTTGTTTCTGAATTTGTACTCACTTATTCTCAGGAACTTAAGACAAACGGTTATAAAGCTAGTCATTTAAAGAGAAGGCATCAATCAATAGCCCAGCTTAATGTTCCTTTATAAGTTTTGTTTTTTCACTTTCTTTCTCTTTTAGAAAAATAAACCATAAGGCTTGTCTCATGATTTTCTTCCACAGTATAATGAATGTAGTCAATCAGCATGTCAGATAGACACTAGACAGCAACAAGTACTTTAAGAGGCTAACATTCATTCTATCATGGATAATTTTCTAATGTTATAAAAAGAGAAACAAATATATAAATATATATATTTATGCAAATATGTAAAACTTTAATAATTTATATGATGTTATTACCAGTTAATATTTGTCCCTTACCCATGACCTTTCTCAGTGCCCTGTTGTTCAGTTCTAGTTCCCAAGAGCAAGACTGAGTTTTTTCCCAGAGGAGCACAGGCACAGAGTGGTAGAATGTAAGGTGCAGTTGCATCAAAACTTGGAACTAAGGATGCACCTGCTGTTCCTGTTCTCTCTCTAAAATCCCTCCATTGAAATCTTCATAACATTTTATTTTTATCTTTCCAATTCTGTCTCTTGTTATTTAAGTTATCAATTTCTGAGACTCAGAGTTTGCTATGGAGTTAAAAAAGACCAAAAGGAATTAGTTCTTTTTCCAACTTTTAGTTTTAGGTATGAACCTGATTCAAACCCCCTAAACAGCATTTATAATGGTACAACTCACTTAGGAAACGTTTCACAGTTTCTTAAAAACACACTTACTTTATGATCCGTCAACTGCACTACAACATATTCACCCAAGAGACATGAAAGTATTATGTCCACAAAAAGACTAGTACAATAATGTTCATTGGTGCTTTATACATCATAGTCCCAAATGGAAACAACCTAAGTGTTTATTAATAGGAGAATGGAGAAACAAATTTTTGGTATATTCATACAATGAAATAATATTTAGCAATATAATCAGCAATACTGATTCATGCAACAACATGGATATATTTAAGAAATATGATGGCTAGATGACAGAAACCAGATATAAAAGGGCACTGATTCTATTAATATAAAGTTAAATAATAAGTAAAACTAATATATGGGGATATCAGAATAGTGGTTTTCTGGAGGCAAGCAGTAGGATGGTTGCTAAGGGACATGAATGAATTCTATAGGGAGATAACAATAATCTATATTTTAATGGGGGTATTGGTTAAATGAGTGTATACATTTGTCAAAACCTATTGAACTATATACTTAAGATCTATACACTTTATTGTATATAATTATACTCTAATCATAAAAACAAATATTAAACTAAATCTCCACAAGATTAAAGAACACCAACATCTATGGGCACTTACTAAGAAAAAGTTCATAGTGTTAGGTGATTGAGAGATCTAAACAAATCTTTGATTCACAGGCATACATACCTTCCTGGAAGTGCTATTTTCACAAAGACCAGATAAGATAAGTAATATATCAGATTGAATTTCCAAAATGATGGCCTCCTCCTTGTCATTAATCTTGTTTATTGTATTTTTAAATATTCCTGGTATAAAAAATTTAAAGAATGCAAAGTTATTGGACAGTATATTTTTATTTTGATCAAATACTGGTTTGAAATCCTTTCTTGTAAAATTTTAGCTAGGGAAATGATTTTAAAAGGGGGCTATTTTCGTCTGGCCTGTGTGGCTCAGTGGTTGAGCATTGACCCATGCACCCAAAGGTTGCTGGTTCGGTTCTTGGTCAGGGCACATGCCCAGGTTGTGGGCCCAATCCCCAGTGGGGGGCATGTGGGAGGCGGCCAATCGATGTTCTCTCTCATCAATGTTTCTCTCTGTCCCCTTCCCTTTCTCTTTCTCTCAAATCAATAAAGAAAAAGAAAATTTTAAAAGGGGGCTATTTTCATTGCATAGTTGCCTAGAAGATGTAGACAGAAGATGATAAATGGATTCTTTGAACTCTCAATATATCAGTAGCCCCATCTATACAGAGTTTCTAGCACAGAATTAATGGAGTGTCACTAAGATGCTCTAACAACCTGATACTTTGCTCAGTAAACAAAACCATTTGAAATTATGGTTTCTGCCCTTGCTGATTTTGCTCAGTGGTTAGAGCATCAGCCTGTGGCCCAAAGGGTCGCAGGTTTGATTCCTGGTCAAGGGCATATATCTGGGTTTTGGGTTTGATCCCTGGCCCCAGTAAGGGCAATGCAGGAGGCAACCAATTTATGTGTCTCTCTCACATTGATGTTTCTCTCTATCTTTCCCTCCCTCACTCCCTTCCACTCTCTCTAAAAGGAATCAATGAAAAATATCCTTGGGGGTGAGGATTAACCAAAAATAAATAAATAGATAAATAAATAAAAATATGCAGTTTCATGAGTGCCTTTGCAAATATATGACCAAAATGCCTGATCATAGCTTGCCTCATGTCTTCTCTTCATGGTTAACAGGTCAATTTTAAGCAAAGGTGGAAAACCTCCATAAGTATTTCTATTTTTGTTACTTCTTTCTGCATCCTCTCCATGTCTGTTCGAAGGTGTCTTCAACAAGTTTAGGTAGCAGTATTCCCATGTCATTTAAAATCTCTCCCCTGCTTCTAATCAAAATTTAAAAAGACTTTAAAACATGTACTTACACTGATGCAATGACATTCACAATAAAATTTTGCCTCAAAAAGGAATTTTCCTTAAAGCTATAAACGAGAAATGAAAGTCATTTTTCCTCTGTTAAAGGGGCACTGGCATTAGCAGACAGTGTTCAGCTACGCTCCAAAGTAGAAGGACCATGGGAGTCATAGCCTATCTCCATAGTTGGCCCTGACAGACAATTCTTGGTCCTGTGAGGATGAATTACAGGTGGGGCATCCGCCCATAGGGAGGGTAGTTGAGCATGCTGGAGGCCCCGTGCAGGGGCAGGCCACAGACAAAAGGACCCATGTACTTTTATCAAGAATGTCTTCCAGAAATCCAAGCTGGCTGCCAATAGGTCTGCTTCTCCTTTCTAGGTTACCTCATTCTCCTTTCTACCTGGGTACAGGTAGCCTTACACACCTCAATAAAGGTCCCTTTCCCTGTTGTCTGGACCAAATGTTATGTTAATACTAAATTATTTTCTTCATATTTCAGTGTCCTTTAATTCTCTGCCTTTACCTTCTGTTTGTTCTATTCTAAAACATCTGATATATTTCTTCCAGATTCTTCTTCCTTTTTTTTTTTTTTTTATCCTCACCCGAGGACATTTTTCCATTTTTTTGTTCAGGTAGAGTTGGAGGGAGAGAGAGGAACAGAGAGAGAGAGAAACATCGACGTGAAAGGAACACATCGAGTGGCTGCCACCCGCACGACCGACCAGGGCCAGGGCCAAACTGCAACTGAGGTACGTGCCCTTAGCGGGAACCAAACCCAGGTCTCTCTGGACCGCAGGCTGATGCTCTAACCGCTGAGCCAAACCGGCCAGGGCCAGATTCTTCTTCCTAAAACAGCATTATAGATGTAACTTCCCCGACTAAAACTGTAAATGGCTTCCCATGCCCCAAGAGAATGGAGGTCAAACTCTATTATCTGCCATTCAAAACTCTTTCTGGCTTGGCCCCTGACCAGACAGGCAATTAAACTTATCTTCATAAAACTCTGACTCCACTTAAGCTAGTTCTGTACACATCATTATGCACATCTTAGTACCATATCTCTACTCATGCTGTTTATTGCTTCAAAGGCCATCTCTCTCTCTTTCTCTCTCTCTCTCTCTCTCTCTCTCTCTCTCTCTTTTTTCCTTTTATCCTCACCTGAGGACATTTTTCAATATTTTGTTCAAATAGAGTGGGAGGGAGGGAAAGAGAGAAACATCAACATGAAAGGGACACATCAAGTGGTTGCCACCCACACAACTCAACCAGGGCCGGGGACAAACGGCAACTGAGGTACGTGCCCTTAGCAGGAACTGAACCTGGGTCTCTTCGGACTGCAGGCTGATGCTCTAACCACTGAGCAACCGGCCAGGGCCATCTCTCTCTCTTTTTAAAAATTATTTGAAACAAGCCTTACACACCAACTCAATAAAGGTTCTATTAAAATTGCCCAGCCTTTGAGAGAGGTAAAGGGATTAAGAAGTACAAATTGGTGGTTACAAAATAGTCACCGGGATATAAAGTACAGCATAGGGAATATAGTCAATAATATTGTAATAACTATTTATGGGGCCAGGTGAGTACTGGAAATATCTGGGGGAACACTTTGTAAAGTATATGATTGTCCACTATGCTGTACACCTGAAACCAATACAAAATAATATTGAAATAAACTGTAATTTTATAAAAGATTAGTACAGAAATTAAGATTAAGCAATAAGAAACTTTTATAGCAAATTGACAAAGATATTGAAAAAGTCTGTGTATCAAAGGACACAACAGACTGAAAAGGTAACTAATGAACTGGGAGAAAATATCTGCAAATTATATATCTGATACAGGGTTAATATCCAGAACATATAAAGAGTTCCTAAAACTCAACAACAAAGAACAAGCAACTGATTTAAAAACTGGCGCCCTAGCTGGCTTGGCTCAGCGGTTGGAACGTAGGCCTGCGGACCAGAGAGTCCTGGGTTCAGTTCCCACTAGGCCCTAGCGGCAAGGGGCATGTACCAAAAAAATAAAATAAAATAAAATAAAATAAAATAAACTGGTAACAACCTCATGAAAAGATACTCAACATCAGTAATCGTTAGGGAAATACAAATCAAAACCACAATGAGATACTACTTCACACCCATTAGGATGGCAACTATAAAACCAAACAAAACGAGTATTGGGAAGGATGTAGAAAAAAATGGAAAACTTGTGCACTGTCGGTGGGAATGTATAATGGTGCAGCCACTATAGGAAACAGTACAGCAATTCTTTTCAGAAATAAAAAATAAAATTTCTATATGATCCAGGAATTCTGCTTCTGGGAATAAACCCAAAATAATTAAAACCAGAGTTTCAAAGAAAAATCTGTATACCCATATTCATAGCAGCATTATTCACAATAGCCAAAATATGGAAGTAACCCAAGTCTCCATTGATGGGTGAATGTATATACATACAATGGAATAGTATTCATCATTTAAAAGGGAGTATTTTCTGAGTGTCCCAGTGATGTGAGCTGAGAAAAGTCAACAGGCCTTGCTGGCTTTGAGGAGGATGGAGGAAGGGGACTGAGTCAAGAAGTCAAGCGGCCTCTAGATGCTGGAAAAGGCATGGAAACAGATTCCCCCCTAGCGCCTCCAGAAAGAAACCAGCCCTGTCACCATCTCAATTTTAGCCTGGTACAATAGATGTAAGTTAGAGTTCTGGATTATAGAACTTTGAGATAACAAATTTGTGTTGTTATAAACCAAAAAATATTTTTAATTCGAAAACTAAAAGGGATGGAATTCTGACACATGCGACAACATAGATGAACCTTGAAGTCATTATGCTAAGTGAAACATGCCAGTCAGAAAAAAGACAAAGACTCACTAATATGAGTGAGGTACCTACAGTAGTCAAATTCACAGACACAGAAAGTAGAATGGTATATGCCAGGGGCTGAGGGGAGGGGGAAATAGCAAGTTATTACTAAAGAGATATAGAGTTTCAGTTTTACAAGATCAAGAGAGTTCTGGATATTGTTTGCAAAATAATATGAATGTACTTAACACTAGTGAACTATACACTTAAAAATGATTAAGATGTTAAATTTAACATTACATGTATTTTACAATTTAAAACTTTAACAATTTTAAATAAAAAATAAGAATAATAAAGGTAAGAAAAAGAGAGAGAATAATTCTTTGTAAACCTTGTTTTTATCATTTGTTCCTATGAAGGAAATCAAATTTCATGCAATGAAATGAAACACAAGCAAAATTTTGTTTGTATTTCCAAGCATATCAGGACTGACAGCTTTCATCAGATGATCAGAAATCAAAAGAATATTAAAAATAATGGTCACAAACAGAGAGTAAGGAGTACAGTAGATAAAAAGCATGTTAAGAGGTTAGGTTTTATTTTTATTTTATTATTTTTTTATCCTTACCCAAGGACATTTTTCCATTTTTGCTCAGATAGAGTGGGAGGGAGAGAGAGGAAGAGAGGGAAACATCGACGTGAAAGGGACACATCGAGTGGCTGCCACCCACACGACCAACCAGGGCCGGGGACAAACTGCAACCGAGGTATGTGCCCTTAGCGGGAACCGAACCTGGGTCTCTCTGGACCGCAGGCCGACACTCTAATTGCTGAGCCAAACTGGCCAGGGCAAGAAGTTAGGTTTTAAAATATATATATATATATATATTTTTATATTTAGAGAGAGATAGAAACATTGATGTGAGAGCACAACATCCATGTGCTGCCTTCTCCATGCCCCCTACTGGGGATCAAGCCTGAAACCTGGGCACCTGCAAATTTTTGGTGCAGTGGTTCTCAACCTGTGGGTCGCGACCCCTTTGGGGGGTTGAATGACTTTTTCACAGGGGTCGCCTAAGACCATCGGAAATATGTATTTCCGATGGTCTTAGGAACTGACACACTGCTCCTTTGTCTGTCTCCAGGCGGGTCCGCCCACATGCAGATTCGCCCACATACAACATGAGGAACTGTATTAAAGGGTCGCGGCATTAGGAAGGTTGAGAACCACTTGCATGGGAAGATGTTCAACCAACTGAGCCACATGGGCCAGGGTCAAGAGGTAAGTTATTTTCCTTTTGCCACTTACTATCATGATTTAGGGAGAATAAAAACGTCTGTTTTGTTAGTAAGAATGTAGGTAATACTTTTTATCAAATAGGGGAGCTGCAATGAGTTAATTAGATTAGGTGTATGCCTGGCATACAGTACATGCACCCTTTCTGCACTCTAACTATACCCTTGGCATTATATTCAAAACCATTCACAATCTGGGCCTGACTCAAATTTGCAAAGTTTCATCTACTCATTAAGTAATAACTCTAATTCTCCCTTGCCCCAGCCCCTGTTTTCTGGCAAATTCCTTAACTTTCTTATCTATAAAATAGGTACCCGCACTAAGAATTATCATGAGGATTAAATGAGATGGTGTATTTAAAGTACCTGAAACAGTGTCCCGTGTATAATAAGCACTTATTAAATGTCAACTAGACACACACACACACACACACACACACACACAGATTTCCTAGCTTTGAAAACTAACCAAACCCTTTAATTTCTATGGTATTTATTCTGTTACTCATTAGTCTTATTGGTGCATGGTAACACGTTATCTTTCTATGACATACATCTTTTCTTTTGTTCTCATGAAGGACAAAGTCCCTAGTGTCCTGCCTTGTACATGGTTGTAATACCACTGCCTAAACAAAGGTGTATAAACATCTACATTCACAATGCAGTTACTATTTGTGGTGCACAAACAGCCCTCTGTTAGACTCAGTAAGAGAAGGTCCTTGCCTCTAACAACTCTCACATGATAAAGATCAGGATTCTTTCAAGTTAAAGGGAAAAAGGTCCTAAGAAAAGAATCCTTGCTATTTGTTTTCTCATTTCCTTACCCCTCCCCCCCAGATAAGATTAAGATTTCTTCCTGGACAGATGGAAAACTGTATTTCTGGACTCCATCCAGTTAGGCTGGGGTCTTAAAACTGACTTCTGTACAATGGAATGTACAAAGAAGTGAGAAAATCTACTTTCAGGTTTGGCCATCCTAAGCAAACTCACCCACAAAATGAACGTTTTTGTGTAGTCCCCTTCTCAATATCCTTGTTTTGCTCACTAGTAGTATTATTAGAGAGCACCACTCATGGCGGAAGAGTAGGCACTTTAACATAACAGGCAGGAGAGTTTTTAAGTAGGTATCTGAAATTAACTGACATCCAGCAAGTTATATCACTTACTCATGAGGCAATCACTGATATAAATGTGACTAAAATAGCTCTTTTCAAAGTCAGGAAAGGTTAGGGCTGACAGACTATTTTTTTTCTTTATTTAATTAATTTATTTTTGTTACAGATGTTTCTCCTTTCCCCCACATTGACTCCCTCCTCCCGTTCCTGGCACCCCCGCCCCCAGCACTGTTGTCTATGTCCATTGGTTATGCTTATATACATAAGTTCTTTGGTTTATTTTTTCCCTCCCTCTCGCCCCTCTGAAGTTTGTCAGTCTGAACACTACTTTTCTGTCTCTGGGTCTACTTCGGTCATCACCATATTTTGTTCATTATATTCCACAAATAAGTGAGATCACATGATACTTGTCTTTCTCTGACTGGCTTATTTTGCTTAGCATAATACTCTCCAGTCCCTCCATGTCCTCTCAAAGGACTACGAGATCTTTCTTTCTTAAAGCTGCATAGTACTCCACGGTGTAAATATACCACAACTTTTTTATCCACTCATCTATTGATAGACACTTGAGCTGTTTCCAGATCTTAGCAATTGTAAATAGTGCTGCTATGAACATAGGGGTACATATATTCTTTCTGATTGGTGTTTCAGGTTTCTTAGGATATATTCCTAGAAGTGGGATCACTGGGTCAAATGGCAGTTCAATTTTTAATTTTTTGAGGAAACACCATACTGTTTTCCATAGTGGCTGCGCCAGTCTGCATTCCCACCAGCAGTGCACTAGAGTCCTCTTTTCTCTACACCCTCGCCAGCACTTGTTGTTTGATGATTTGTTGATGGCAGCCATTCTGACAGGTGTGAGGTGATACCTCATAGTCATTTTAATTTGCATCTCTCTGATGATTAGTGACATTGAGCATTTTTTTCATATGTCCCTTGGCCATTTGTATGTCCTGTTTATTTAACAAAAAGTAAAGAGTTTTTGTGCTGGCATGTGTGGCTCAGCCATTAGAGCGTCGGCCCTCAGGTTCAATCCTGGATGAAGGCACGTACCTGGTTGCCCGTTCGATCCCCACCCCCCTCAATGAAAAACACATCCTCAGCTGAGGATTAACAACAACAACAAAAAAAAGTAAAAAGCTTTTTTTTAAAAAGGGGTTCTGAATTTTACAGAGTTCACATGTATGTATTTTGGGGATAAGGCAACCTAGCATAGTTTTTTCTTAGTTGAAAATCACGGATATCCTGATATATCAGAAAAGAATCTCCTGTGTACATTTCTGTATACATCAGTGTACCAGCATCCTGGTATGTCAGATGCACTGGAAAATGTAATGTTACCCTCTTTTAAAATGACTCCAAAAGACTTGACCAGAAAATAATAATCTTATTAGAAGAATGAAACATAACAATAGCCCATAAAAAAAAATGTTAAAGATAATCCTAAATGAAATGGTATATGAATTGAGAAAACACATGTTTAAAGGATGACTGATCATGATTCAGTAATGAAACTGATTTATAGCAACAATATGAAACAAAAATCAAGAAAATATTCAGGAGTTTCTCAGCTATAAAAACAAAATAAATTTATAGGAAAACATTTTGTTATTATTTTAAATCCTCTCCCAAGGATATTTTTCCATTTATCTTCAGATAGAGTGGGAGGAAGGGAGGGGCAGAGAGAGAAAGAGAAACATCGATGTGAGACAGACACACTGACTGGCTGCCTGCCTCCTGCACAACCCTGACCAGGGCCGGGGACTGACCCACAACAGAGGCACATGCCCTTGACAGGAATTGAACCCGAGACTGGTCCGCAGGCCGAAGCTCCAACTGCTGAGCCAGACGGGCCAGGGCTACAGAAAAACATTTTAAACAAAACCTCTAACTTGTAAATATTCTACTTTCATCAGTACCAAGCAAGTTGTTTTACCTATGAGTTGCTGAATTGCTTCCTTTTCACAAAGATCCTTGTTTACAGTCTCATCCTCAAGGTAGACCATAGCTCTCAGGAGTCTTAAAGTGTAACGCATATGAGCAAACTTGTTGCCACGGCCGCCTGTACCATGGAAACTGTTCCCATGGCTGAAGAAGGAATCTGTGGAGAAAGAGTAATAATTTACTGTACTTCAAGAAATTTAAAACATTTCAAATAAACAATATATCAGCTATGTATCCATAAGTTTAAACAGATGTAAAAATTATGTTATATTTGCTTTAGTTTTTTTTTTTTTTGAGAATTATGCCTTTTCCCTCCTCCTAGTCCCAGAATAGAAATACGTGCTTTAAAATTTTCTTCAAATGTATCATTGAACGCATCTTTTGTAACTTGCTTCTGTATTCAACAGTATGTTTTAAAAACTATTCAAATTGTCAAAAATAGATCTAGATCATTCATTTTAATTGCTTTCAGCTCTCACTTTATAAATAAATTGGTTTTTCCAGTCACTAGTGCAAACTGCTCTAATGAACGTTTTGGTTCACGTCCTCTTACTGCCCGTGAGCAGAGCTTGGTCATGCGACACCAGAACCACATAGGCTATACCTCCATTGAATTTTACTAAAGTTGCCAAATTGTTTCACAAAGTGGTTATGTGGATATAATTAATAAGACTAATAGATTCTTCTCAATCTATTAAATGTGAAATGGTAGTTCACTGTTATATTAATTTGCATTTCTCTGATTACCAATGGAGTTGTGTCCTCTGATGTTTTTTGAAAATTTGAGATTTTCTGTCCCTTGGCAGTCTCCATTCATTATCCATTTCTCTACTGAGTTATTTTCTTTTTGGTATGTAGTTCTTTATGAACCTGGATTCTAATCCTTTATCAGTCACAAGGGTGGTAAATGTCTTCTCTCAAGTTGTAGTTGGTTATTCTGATTTTGTCACAGACATTTTGAAGTTTTATAGTACTAGTTAACTTCATCAATCTCCTTCTGTATAGTTTAAGCTCTTCTGGTTTTTCAGAGTTTTTTCCTACCCTGTTATCATAAAGATATTTTCCCATGTTTTCGTCTAAGATTTTTACAGTTTAACTTCTCATATTTAGGGCTTTAATTCATTTTGTAATTGATTTTTTTAAAAATAAAAAAAAATGCATTTTAATTTTTTTGCATGGAGGGCTAACTGCCCTAGCCCTATCCTCTCACTGATTGGTAGTATCATTTCTGATAAAGCTAGTCTCCCATAGATTCCATTCTATTGGTCTATTCTTGGCCTAGTACCAAACAATTTTAACTACTATAGTTTTATGGTTGGTCTTGATAAATAGCAGGGCAAGTCCTTTTTTTTTTAAAAAAAAAAAAAGGATTGTTCTTTTAGTAGTAGTTTTATGTTTAAAGCTATAAAAAAAAGTTCAAAATACTCTTCTGAATATTGTGTACTGGTTAAAAGTGTGGGTTCTGGAGCTAGACTGCCTGCATTAAACCGTGGCTCTGCCACGTACTGTGTGGCCAGGAACAAGTTATTTAACTTCTCTTACTGATTTCTACCCATCTGATAAACAGGAATAATAGTACCTATAAGTCCTAGATTTGTTGTGAGGGTGAAATGAATTAATACTTGTAAGGTGCTTAAGGCCTCCCACATGGTAGGTTGGGTACTCGGTGACCACCAGCTATCAGTGTTCCTCTTGTTAGGCAGCAGTTCCTCTTTTGCCTTATATTCTTTTGTAAACATAAGTAATGTTATAATGATACAGTGTTCAGGAAACATAAATATAAAGGATAGACAGAAGAATAATTTTATTTAATAAGACTAAATTCAGTAATAGCATATTAGAAACTAGAGAATAAAAAATAATCTATAATTTTTTTTCCTCCCTCATGGATAAATGAGTGATATTACTGATCTAATGAAAATCCCCCATACAAAATTTTTCTAGAACAAAATTACTACCAGAAAAGAATGTAGCATCTTCCTTATAAATTGTTTTCAAAAACAACATATATCTTATTTTCTAAGAGTTATGAGAATTAAAATATCCAACAAATTGGGCTCTGCTAATTTGGTAAATCACATGTGGAAACATTACGTCTGAGTAGAGAGCTGGATCTTAAGGTCCATGAAGGTAGAGATTTTATTTATTTTGAACACAAATGCATCTTTAGCAGCTAAAACAGTGTCTGGTACCTAGTAGGCATCCAATAAATATTTGTTAAATGAATAATTAAAATACTGCAGGACTTAGTATAATTGTTGGATAGGTCTAATAATACTCTTTAAATCAGATTATATATATAATTTCTTTTACTGAGAGGTGTGCATCAACTACATTTACTAATACCTGATCTTAAATGAAATCTGTTTTTTTCTTAAAATGTGTAAATATATCAAAATCAGAGGAAGAGATTTATATGTTTATTTTTCTTTGCCTTAGTTTTACAACTTTTTTTTTAATCCTCACCAGAGGACATTTTTGCATTTATCTTCAGATAGAGCGGGAGGGAGAGAGGGGGAAGAGAGGGAAGAAAGAGAGAAACATAGATGTGAAAAAGACACATCGACTGGTTGCCACCAACACGACCCCAACCAGGGCCAGGGACAAACTGCAACCGAGGTACGTGCCCTTAGCGGGAACCGAACCAGGGACTCTCTGGTCCGCAGGCCGATGCTCTAACCACTGAGCAAAATCAGCCAGGGCGGTTTTACAACTTTTTCTATGCATATATTGAGGGTTCACTTGAAATATGTAGCTTAAAACTTTGACAGGAATATTTGAGGGCCATTCACCTTCAGTCTCACACCATTCTAGAAATGACAGGATTCGAGCGTTTCCCTGGCACACCATATATTCTTCTATTAATAAAGGGGCCACTGATGACAAAGTGGCAATTGCATGCAGTTGTAATTCTTCATACTGTGCTGCAGACCATTCAATTATTTTGTGCTTCTCGGGCTTTTTAACATAGGTAAGCAGAGCCAGAACAACTTTGCCATCAGTTAATAGCTATGAGAAAGGGCAAAAAAGTATTGTTAGAAACATAATAAAATAATTTTATTTAATCTAAGAAAATTAAATAAAAGATTTCCTCTTTTATATTTTATTGATAATTTCAAAATATTTCCTTCCTGAAGATCTAAATCTATGATAAGTACTCAAAAATATAAAAAAGTAGCCCTGGCCGGTTTGGCTCAGCGGTTAGAGCATCGGCCTGCGGTCCTGAGAGACCCGGGTTCAGTTCCCGCTAAGGGCACGTACCTAGGTTGCAGTTTGTCCCCGGCCCTGGTCGGTCGTGCGGGTGGCAGCCACTCGATGTGTTCCTTTCGCATCGATGTTTCTCTCTCTCTCTCTGTTCCTCTCTCTCCCTCCCACTCTACCTGAACAAAAAATGGAAAAATGTCCTCGGGTGAGGATAAAAAAAAAAAAAAGTAAATGAAAAACCCCCAAACCAAACTCAATATTAACAACGGTTGGCCCAGCCAGTGTGGCTCAGTGGTTGAGCACTGACCCATGCACCAAGAGGTCGCTGGTTTGATTCCCAGTCAGGGCACATGCCTGGGTTTTGGGCCCGATCCCCAGTTGGGGACGTGTAGGAGGCAGTCATTCGATGTTTCAATCTCTCCTTATCCCTGCCTCTCTCTCTAAAAGTCAATAAAAACATTAAAAACAAAACAAAAATAAAACCAGTTGCCTATGATCCTCATTTATAGGGATATATACTCTCTAGTGACAATAATAATATAAAGTAAGTATTAATTTTGGGGGTCTATGCTGCATATCTGTATATCTGCATATATATCTGAATATATATATATATAGTTTTGTTTCTTCTTATAATAAAACCACAGGAGTAGACATTTGGGTGAAATAAACTGCTAGCATTTATCTCTTCCTTCCCCCTTTTTATAAAGGAAACATTTCACAGACTCACTTGTATACCATAAAAATCAATTTTGTCTGAAATAATGACTATGGCTAATTTTTAAGCACATACACCAGAACTTATACAAATATTCTGTCTAATGAATGGATCACATGCCATATTTAAATACACAGCTAGAATTTTAAAGTTGTACTGAATCCATGATTTTAATAAAAATAAAACAAAAATGCATAGCTATGTATGACAGTAAAGTTAATATTAGAGTTGATGCTGATTGATGCATATTTATGGTTCACAAGATAGTAACACACCATGTGCTACATTCTGTTCAATGTTCTTTTCATTTGGCATTATTCTATAAAGACTTCCTCACAATAACATCTATGAATTTTCCTAATTTTTCTACTAGTTCAATGGAAAGAACATAAAATTTAGGACTGAAAAATCGGGAATAAGAATAACAAGTAGTTCTAGCATTACTATAAGTATTAAGTGGATAATGTTTTTGAAATACTCCGTGAACTGCAAATAACAGTACACATATTTATTGTTACTACTATTACTGGTCACCAGTATATGACATAAAAAATTAGTTGGTTCCGCTGCTCACATAGTGCTTTAAGAAGCGCACCATAATCTTTGTGCCATTTGACTATTATAACTAAAACTGGCTTATAAATTGTAGTGTAAATTTTATTGTCTTTATATCTAGCAAATTAATAGTTATATTTAATAGTTATATAACATTCATATTTTATTGAATATTTTCTATGTGGAATTTCAGAAAATACAGTTAGGTTGTATAGAGAGAGAGGGAGTGTGTGTGTGTGTACATATATATACATATACAGACATATATACATATATACATGGTATATAGTATAGTATATATATACATATAGTATATATATATACATATATATGTATATACACACGTAACTAATTGATGTAACTAATAAAGTTATAACTGTAAAGACATTTCCTCCTTTTCTGAACATTTTTTTAGTATATATATTTCTCCGGACCGCAGGCGGACGCTCTAACCGCTGAGCCAAACCGGCCAGGGCATAGTATATATATTTCTCAAAGTAGCATTACGAAGAAAATTCTGAGCTCTTTTAATCCTCATGATAATTCCATGAGGTAGATGTTATACCCATTTTGAAGCAAAGATAACGTGGGATTTAGAGAAAATAAATAACCTATTCAAGATCACACAGCTAGCAACTGACAGCACTAGATTCCATCTGACTGAAGTCCTAACCACTATGCAAACCACCTTTATATTATCATCAACCATATTGACAGAATGAATTCCTATTCTTTTTCATGGTAACCCCCGGAGCTTAAAAGACTTTTAGGACTCAAATGAAATTTCACTTAATGCAGGAAATAACTAAACTAATGGAATTGTTAGTAGTACATTTTTTTCTGTCACTTTTTACAGTTTATGAGGCTTCATTTTGCTCTCATGAATCAATCTCACAGTAGCCTCATGAGCAGGGCAGAAGTTTTATAACCATCCTTTTACGGAAGGAGGAACTGAGCCTCAGAAAGTGTAGATGATTTTGCTAAGGTCACATAGCTAGTAGGTGACAGAACAGAAGTGAAATTCAGTTCCGGTGTTCTTCAAATTACATCATGATATTATGTAGGGTACTATGATAAATTCATGGATAATAAAAAACAAAACAAAACATAAAGACATTAGGTTGGCGTGGAAAAAAGGAGGGTTAGGAAGGGTTTGAGATTAGTAACAGAGGTTAGTATTCCTCCAGCACAATCAACCCTGGTTGCTATGGTCACAGACAGCCGATTAGGCTAGATGGGCCTATATGGATCGTCCTTCACTTTATGTTCTCTTATTGAGATCTAAATATATAAATACATCTCAAAGGGTCTCCTACTTTTCTTTGGTTTATGTGGTTTAAATTTAGGCAAGTTCACTGTTTATTTACAGATAAGCAAAGGAAATTTTGAAAAGGTGAAATTCCAGCTAAGAGTTTGTTACTTTCTATGGTAAACATATGGGCTGATGAGAGATTTGCAGCCATGACTTATTAAAAGTTATACTACAAAGTGAGTGGATTTAAATTTTTGTTTTGATTACTCTTTACCTGTACAGTAGGTAAATCTTTACATAAGATCACAATGATATTGAACAGCAATTTCTTCAATTCAAAATTTTCATAGGAATTAGAAAGCTTAAGACCTTTCACCAGAGGATTTTGACTTTTAACTGTGAGGGGAAAAAAAGAAAGTAAAATAAAAGCTAAAATGACATATAAGACTCATCAAGATAATTATAGGCTGCAAGTTTTATGGTTTTTACCTTCATTAAAGGTTGCAAATAGTATCAACTCCCTGGTAAAGCCACATTCCTGATATAAATACACAAAACAAACAGAGGAATGAATTAATTGATGGAAAGTAAGTTACAGATGCCCGTATTTACCTAATATTTAAGTATCTTTATCAGATTCCCCTTGTTATTCATTTGAAATCATAAAGCACTCATAATAGGAAGGAATGAAAGCAAGAAAATAAAAGCATACAGCCAGATAAACTTGTAATTTATTTAATATTAAACTTATTTCTGTAGGTTCCAAGAAATATTTTACTTGGAAACATATCATTCAAGACTATTTTAATAGATGCTGTTTAAAATTTAGTTAGGAACCTAAAATGTATTACGTACAAGTTACTTATGTAATTCATTATTTATACCCTCAAGTGACAAAAGAGAAGCGAGTAGTTTTTTTTAATCCTCATCCGAGGACATTTTTCGATATTTTGTTCAGATAGAGTGGGAGGGAGGGAGGGAGGGAGGGTGGGAGAGGGGGAGGGAGAGAGAGAGAGAGAGAGATTGATGTGAAAGGGACACATCGAGTGGTTGCCACCCACACGACCCAACCAGGGCCAGGGACAAACTGCAACCAAGGTACGTGCCCTTAGCGGGAACTGAACCCGGGTCTCTCTGGACCGCAGGCCAACGCTCTAACCGCTGAGCCAAACCGGCCAGGGCAGTAGTAGTTCTTTTCAATAGCTTTTCTTTTTCTTTTTTTTTAAATTACTTTTATTAATTAATTTTTGTTACAGATGTTTCTCCTTTTCTTCTTAAACAATGCTACTCCCCACCCCAACCCCAACCACCCTCATTATGTCAAAGGTTTAACCAAAATATAACAAAATGAGTTTCTACTTAACATGAAAAGCTGCAAAGAATGACCAGAACTGTAAACATTTCAAAGTCAGGAAACTCATTCCTGACAGATGTCCTAGGGGTAAACCCTGGCCTTCTGAGCTTGCAGCTTTACATACCTACTACTTAGAAACAAGATGGTTTCCTCAAAATGTGAAGTTACTCCTGTGATTCACATTCAGAAAATTCACCTGAATATTTGCAAGGATGCTAATGAGAACTGACTGACTGACCAGGGTTTCCAGAGAAATATAACGTCCACATGCACTGCAGTCTTGACTAGGAAGCTATGTAGGTCTGTTTTCCCATCTGCACAATATGAATCCTATGACTGTTCTCTTATGTTGGGATCACTTGATGCCCATTAACATGGGGTTGTGGCCTTCACTGCCAAATTTCCTTTAAGTACAACCTAGAAAGTATGTGGCTGATATATGAATATTATTGGCAAATATCTCTACTCTAGGATGTCAGTAATTCAGTGACTTTTACATTATAAAATATGGGGAAGTTAAGCTTCTGATATAGTTGAATAGCTCCTACAAAAAATACTCCTGCAGATAACAATGATAAATTCTAAACTAAATATAAAAACAACTGTGACCAAAAACCAAGCAGATACTGAGGGGAGTCAGGACTTTGAGGAAGGAAATGGCACTGCATGAGTTTTCCATTTAAAAAAAAAAAAATGGCTTTGAGAATGAGCCCAGGCTCTAATCTGCACCTGGTGGGGATGCTAAGTCTCAGGGTAAACCTGTAACCTAGTAGCTTGAAGAGCCAGAGGACAGAAGCAATCCCAGGGCAACCACTGCTACTGGAAAGTGAAGGGAGAAATCCCATTCAGGAGAGAGCCAAAGGTAGGGAACCTCAAATTCTGTGTATAAAACTCCTGAATCTCTGGCTGAGGCCTTAACTATGCAAGGGCAGAGCATACGCAAGCATCCCGTGTGAGACTAAAATGAATGAACTGAGATGTGAGCTGCTATCTACTATTGGGATGAGTATAGCCAAACCGATGCCTATTAACACAAAAACAAAACACACTATTCAGAGGATTACACCAGATGCTCATAATGAATGAAAGACAGCAACTCTCAGTCAATAAATGAAAACTATAAAACAGAACCAAAAGGAAAATCTAAAACTGAAAAACATAATATCTGAAATAAAAATGTATTGGATGGAATTAACAGCAGAATGGAGGTGACAGAAAAAAAGAAAAAGAGAGCAAATTTAAATATATAGACCAATATAAACCATGGAGAGGAACAGAGAGAAAAGTGACTGGGAAAAGTGAACAGAGCCTCATGAACCTATTGGACAAATATCACAAAGTGAACCATACACGTAATCAGAGTTCCAAAAGAAGAGGAGAGAATAATGGTCAAAAATTCTTCAAATTTAGTGAAAGACCTAAATTTACATGTTCAGGAAGTTCTATGAAAATCAAGCAAGACAAATACAAAGAAAATCAAATCTTGGCTTATCATAGTAAAATTGCTGAACAGAGAGAGTGAAAATCTTGAAAAACAGCCAGAAAACAGAATGATTAATTGTACACAGGGGAACAACAATTTGAAATAATGAATACTTCTTATCAGAAACAACGGAGACCAGCCCTGGCCGATGTGGCTCAGTTGGTTGGCACTGAGAGGTCACTGGTTGGATTCCCAGTCAGGGCACATGCCCAGGTTGCGGGCTCGATCCCCAATGGAGGACATGGGGTGGCAGCCAATTGATGTTTCTCTCTCTCCTTTCCTTTATCTCTCTCAAATCAATACAAACATAAAACAAAACAACAACAACAACAACAAACCACCCAGAAACAATGGAGGCCAAAGGACAATGGAACAATATCTTTACAGTGCTAAAAGTGAAAAATTTGAACCTAGAATTCTGAATTCTGTATAGATTTCAAGAATTCAGGTGAATTAAAGACATTTTCAGATGGAAGAAGCAAAGAGAATATGTTGGCAGCAGCCGGCAGATCTGCATCACAAGAAATAGTACAGAAAGTTCTTCAGGTAAAAGAGAGATAATTGCAGATAAAAACTTGTATCATTAGGAAGGACAGAAACACATCATAAATGGTAAATATGTGAGTGAATTATAAAATATGAGAACCTCAAGTTTCCAAAGGCAATGGGCAGAATGAGGAGAGAGTGATTATACTAGTGATGATCCTGACATTACAATATCACTTAGCATTACAACACAGTAGATAAATATTACGACACAGTCTAAATATTATGACACAGTCGAGTGTCCCCCCTCCACTTCCACAATTTAAACTAATAGAATTTACTCATACTTACAATCATTGGTGCTTCAGGATTTTGAGCTATAATTGTAGTGATCACTAATATATCGTTTCTAAGCTGACGATCGTAATGACTAAAACCTCTCATAAACAAATGTTTAAATACTTCCTTTAAAGCCCTGGAAAGTAAAATCATACTTTCAGAAACATATTCTTATGGAAATACTACTTATGTGTCTATCAACAAAATCTCCCTTTTTATATTATACGATTCATTTCAAAGTATTTCTAATCTTTTCTATATTTCCAAATCTGCCTCCAATTCACTATAGCGAGAATCCATCAATTCCATCTATGCGTGGTGGGCACAGTGACTGCTCCAAAATAAATACTTAATCACACCATTTTCCTCCTTAAAACCACTTAAAGGCTTTTCTTTCTTCTTAGGATAAAGTCCTACATTCTTACCAAGGCTCGTCAGACCTTTCATGTTCTAGTCCCTGCTAACATTGTTAGCTTCATCCCTCTCTTCTACCCTGTACTTTCTGCTCTCCCCATATTGAATTTGTTTTTCAATTTTGCTAAATTCTATTTTCATTTCTGTTCCCTTGTCTAGGATGCTCTCTGCAGGCAACGCTCTTCTTTGTTGCCAATTTGTATTTATCATTCAGATATCAGATTATGGTGCATTAGAAAGCATTTATTAACTCTCTGAGTCTGGGTCAGGTACCCTATACAATGTACATTTGTTGCTTTGCTTCCTAGGACCCTCTTGCCCTTCTTGTGATATTTTTACTTTATTTATTTTTTTAATCCTTATTTTTTTCAATTTTTTCCATTGATTTTTAGAAAGAGTGGGGGTGGGGGAAGTGTGTGTGAAAGAGAGGGCTGGGAGTTGAACCTGAAACCCAGATATGTGCCCTTGACTGGGAAGCAAACCCATGACCCTTTGGTCCTCAGGCCAACGCTCTAACCACTTAGCTCACTGACCAGGCAGTACCCTTATTTTTATTTAGGCTTCACTCTTTCCTCACTTTTGGTCTGGTGCACCGCCTTCCACTTCTGTTTAGCCCAAGAGCATTCCTTTGCTTTGTCACTAGTTATTCACTCTGCAATGGGCATATGACCAACACTGGATGCTCAGGGCCAACAGGATTCAATCTGAAGAAATTTCTTTGTGCTTTCAGAAGAGCAAATTTTGTCTTCTGCTTGATTTGGGGTTATGATGTTGTGAACATAAACATCTCAGGTCTCCCCATGTGGCACTTGTGAATAAAGCCAACACAGTGGAAGACACGGCAGAGAGATGAACTGAGCCTTGAATACAGCTGCACATGAGGCCAGTTTTATCCTTGACGTCATAGTTACATTAGCCCATACATCTCCTATAATTGCTTAAATTAGTTGGGTTGAGTATTCAGTCACTTGCAAATATGTAATACCTTACAATGATGTCTTTCATAACATTTAGTATGTTTGCAGTTAGTTGCCTATTTAATTGTCCATCTCTCCTAACATAACACAAATTCCATGAAAGCAGAGACCATGTCTGTATTGTTTTCAGTTGTCTTTATACGGCCTAGTACTGAACTTGGCACAGAGCAAACAATAATTACTAAATAAATAAATAACTTAAAGTCTTCCTCATATTTTTGCTAATGCTTATTGTAGTAACTAGAAGACGATACGTATTAAAAAAACATTTATTGAATGAACAAATAAAATGTCTCTTTTCAATGTCTAATTTGACTTTATACATATTCAAAGACATAATTAAGTTTTGTTCACGAGCTACTTTAAATGCCTCCCACATAGAAACAAAATGGCTTGTTATTGTGTAGATGCATTTATACAACAGCACAAAAAAGACGTCCTGAAACAGCCATTACAAAACCTAATGGAACACAAATTCAGACAAAAATTATAGTTATGTCACAAGGTTAAAAAACATTCCTGGCACAAAAGAAACTTATGAACAAAACAGATCCAGAGACATGGAAGCAAGGAACAGACCGACAAATCTCAGAGGGAAGATGGGAGGGGGAGATGGAGATTAACCAAAGAACTTCTGTGTTTGTATGAATAAACCACGGACACAGACAATAGTGTGGTGAAGGCCTGGGGGTGAGGGGGAGTGGGGTAGAGGGAGTCAATGGGGTAAAAAAGGGGGGTATCTATAATACTTTCAACAATAAAGACAAATAAAAAAAAAACACATTCCTAACTAACCACATATACTTACAGCAAACATTCCAAATTACTAAGCTGTTGTATGATTTCTTCTTTTGATGATTTTTCCAATAAGTTCCAGAGTATTTCTGATGAACGAAACAGAAGCTGTCCAGAGGGATCTGGGTCACTGAGGTGAGCACAGATGCCTCTGGCTGCTTGTGCTTTCATCATGAAAGTACAATTAACTTCTGAAAATAAATTAAAAAATGACTTACGTTGCAGTCTTGACATTCATAGATAAAAACAAAATTAGTTGACAATAAAGTGCTCCAAGTTAATAATATACAAACCAGAAGTTGAGAGATGCTGCAGAGCTTTAAGAACCCAAAGTTTCTCAACAAGTTGATTTTCAAACAAGGCCAATGACTGAACCATTGTTTTTGCCAATCCTCCGACTTCAGCCATTTGAATCTTATACGTTGAGCTAGCTTGCTGGTAACCTAACAACAGTTAGTTAGCACATATGTACAGTTATTTCACATAGTAATCATCTACATTAAGACAAAGGAATGAGTAATTTATCATTAAACAATAGCAGCAACATCAAAACTTTTAAAAAGTGTATGGTATTTTATTTTATTTATTTATTTTTTTAAAATTTCCCTTTATTAATTATAGAGAATAATGAATTAAGAGGGAGAGAGAGAGATAGAAACACGGATGAGAGAAAACATCGACTGACCGCCTCCTGTACGCCCCCTACTGGGAGTCGGGCCCACAAACTGGGCATGTGTCCTGACCAGGAATTGAACTGGCAACCTCCTGGTTCATGGGTAGATGCTCAACCACTGAGCCACACCAGCTGGACAAGTGTATGGTATTTTAAAATGGTTTGGCAAAGGGACAGCAAACTTTTTCTATAAAGGGACAGGTAGTAAGTATTTTAGGCCTTGTGGGTCATAAGGTTTGTTGCAAATACTCAACTCTGCTACCATAGCATGAAAGCAGGCATAAACAATATAAAAACAAATGGGCATGACTGTGTTCCAATGAAACTTCATTTACAGTGGGCCGATTTTGGCCTGTGGTCCATAGTTTGCTGATCCCTGGTGTAACATTTAAAACAAGACCGCAAATTGGGGGCACATCTTAAATTCTAAAAAAGAACAATATTTTTATTTGTAAGTAGATGTGCCTTTCCATAAAGAAAAATGTCATGATTGTAAACACTGAATATTTTCGCTATTCAAGTCAATGCATTACTTCAGTGCTTTCAAGAACCAGCAATTATGTGATATTGGCAATGAAATAAGAGGTAAAAATGTCATGCTGTTCTGACAAATGCTAGTGAATATAATGGTATGTTAGAAATGTCTGATTCTTAGTGACAGGTCCCATAAGAATTCCCTTTTCCTTAGTTTTTAGGAGAAAGACTCCCTCTCCTTTGAGTCAGTTGCACAGGTGCCTGCTCAACTACATGTACCAAGATGATATGAACATCAGAGGATGCTTGCTCTTCTGAGATGGAGCTATTTTCTCTAACGATATCACTTATCCACCTCCCTGACTCTTTGACTTTTGACACCAACTAGATTCTTGCCATAGTACTGAGATGTCTGTCAGTTTGCTTTATCTTTCTGAATTTGAGGTCTGACGCCAGACAAGGCCCTGTCCCTTCCTGTGATGGGGCCGGCATGTAAAAAGTACAAAAAGGAAACTAAAATCGCCTGTAATTTCATTGCCCAGAGATAACAATATTAACATTTTGGTGTATTTCCTGCTGATATATTAATGTATGTATATTACTTTAACAACACACTACATATATGCAGAATTTTCTATTCTACTGCAGCCACTAAACATTTTATAGTAAGCTTTTCCCCATTCTGCAACATATTGTCACAAATCATGATTTTTATTTGCATAATAGTCTATGATAGGAATGGATCAAAAAGTATACTTTATATTTACTGTATATTTTTCTACTGAGTTTACATTTCTATAAAAAGACATAGTAACATTAAGGACTTGATTCCTATGTCCAGGGCTATGTCTCTGACACTGTGGTCCCAGATGTCCAGCTATGCCCAACACTTAAAACCAGCCGTGGGACAGTGAGTGAGCACACTGCCTAAGCCTCCTAATTTTCAGAGCCTGACAAATGAAGGTCAAGCTCACTTCTTGGCACCTTCACTCCTGTTGCTTCTCATACATCATTTGTTTCCTTTTCTTTCTTAAAGAAGAACTCTATTTTACCAAGCTTAACCCTAAGCTTTTGCTCTTAATCCCATCATCTCATGCTTTCTTTGTGAATTTCACCCTCCCATCTGCCACTTACCAGCTTCTTGTTCCTCTGCCTACCAACTTCAATTTTAGACAAATTAAAAACAACAAAACCTACATATTTTTCTTTGCTCTTTGCTAACAGTTAAGCTGTTCTCCATTTTCCTTTTTTCTTCTTCACCTTCTGATCTTAAATATAAGTCTGTATTCACTCCCTCACTCCCTCACTCCCATGGCCTCCACATTCACAGGGCTCTCATTCTTGAATCCTGCATCTGCCCTGACCACTCCATAGCAATGATCTGACGAAGATTAACCACAACTTTCCAGCCTCATTAACTTGGCCTTTTCATTCCTCCATTACAGAAGCCTCTGCAGCACTGGCCACTGAGACCACTTCTTCCTCCATCACACATTTCATTCACTGGCATACCACACATGGCAACACTTTAGATTTCTTCCTCCTCTCAAACCTTCCTTCTCTGCCAATTTCTTTGAATTGGTTTTTTTCCACATCTTAGTATGGGTACTCTCCATCATGTTATTCTTGCTCCCTTGCTCTTTCCTGGCAAACTCAACCATTTTGATGGCTTCAATTTTCATCTCTACTTGTATAAATTCCAAACCTGTATTTCTGGTCAATAGTTCAAATAGTTAATGATCTCCTTATTCAGTTCTTTACTTCAGATGTCTTCCCATTTCTCCTTAGTCATAATCTTTCTTTTCTACCATTGAGTCTTATTTTCACCTATCTTAAGAAACATATAACTTTCAAAATATAATGTATGTCTTCTCTCCCTTCCTAGATTGACTATAAAGTACAGAAACTATGAAGGTAGGAAGTATATCCTAAATGACATTATATCCCCAACAGTGCAAGTGTCTTTTGCTTACTATCACCCACTTTAGTGTGATTCACTTTATCATCATATATTAAAATCCCTTAGCTATAACATGCAGAACTGTTTTCCCAAACATGATGGAGAATGTTATTAAGAACTTAACATCTAATTAGGTGGGACAGATATTATAAATAATTGTTAGAAAATAATAAATAATGTTACCAACACTATTAATTAACATTAACTAATAGTAATAACTATTATTAAATTAATTTGGGTATGACTTAAACATTATATCATAAATATTTAGCATCAGAATAAAAATATCAAGCAAATCTAAAATTAAAAAAATATATATATAAATTATTATTGTTGTTATTAATCCTCACCTGAGGATATTTTTCCATTGATTTTTAGATAGAGTAGAAGGAAGGGAGAAAAGGAGAGAAAGAAAAACGTCAATGTGAGAGACACACTGATTGGTTGCCTCCTGAGATGGGGGCTGAGGTTGACCGGGAATTAAACCTGCAACCCGTGGGTGTGCAGGCCAACAGCTCTAACCACTGAACAAACCAGCCAGGGCAAAAAAAATAATAAAAAATAAAAATAAAAAAATCTAAATTTTTTTATTTAATATGACCAAAGACCTTGAGACTACAAAAAGAAAAATGTTTTTGTTATGTTGCATTTATGATCCTACTTTCTTTCCAAGTTCAAAGAGAAATGGAACAGAATACTCTGTTTTATAAAGACATAAGTTATTACCGAAAGACCACTGAAAACTTTACCTGTAATATGCTTCTTTGGTGGTTCTGCATGATAAAAGTCAACAATACACTTACAAATTTGTATCCTCAATTCAGAACTTGGTACTTTCATTAAGTCACCTGCCAGAAAGATAAATGAATACTATTGAATAACACCATCATAAGTTTATTTACAAATTCAAGCATACAGTTTTAGTAATATGATTATTTAAAATATTCTCATCAGAAATTCAATGCAGTGTTATTTATAATAGCCAAGATTCGGAAGCAGTCCAAGTGTTCATCAGTAGATGAGTGGATAAAAAAAGCTGTGGTACATTTTATACAATGGAATTCTACTCAGCTGTATAAAAGAAGGAAATCTTACCTTTTTCACAGTATGGATGGACCTGTAGAATAATATGCTATGTGAAATAAGCCAGTCAGAGAAAGATAAGTACCATATTAAAGAGCAGACTGCCACAGTAAGAAATGGGCCATATATTTATTATATAAATGTCTGCCAGCACTCTTGGAGGCAACATTTAAAAATAATAACAGCAACATAGGCATTTTAAAAATGTTATCAACCAGCCCTGGCTGGTGTGGTTCAGCGGTTAGAGCGTTGGCCTGTGGACCAGAGAGTCCTAGGTTCGGTTCTCGCTATGGAGCACGCACCTTGGTTGTAGTTTGTCCCTGGCTCAGTTGGGGTCATGTGGGTGGCAACTAGTCGATGTGTCTCTCTCATGTTGATGTTTCTCTTTCTCTCTTCCCTCTTCTCTCCCTTCTGCTCTATCTGAAGATAAATGCAAAAATGTCCTTGGGTGAAGATAAAAAAAAATAATAAAAAATAAAATGGTTATCAACCAAACCTACACTTTTTATCTGTTATACCATGTCTTCTTTTGGGTTAGCTTCCCATTGTAAATTCCACTGATAATAGAGATTCATACAATTCAGGTTTCCCATTAGTTTTTAGCCTACCTGTTCCTTAATATCATTTTATCTAACTCCTCATGTGTATTCTAATTTCCCTGAAACTTTCACCTACTCTAGTCCATAATAATTTTCCCCAAGGTATCTACAGTTAAGGACTATGAAACATATTTAGATATAAAAGGTTAGTGTCTATGTTAAAAATTAAAAGTGCTTTTTATTTATTCCAGTTGAGTCTAACATCTTTCAGTATGGAATATAATTCTAGGAACATAATAATTCAATAAATACTTATTTTTTATTTGTTGGGCCAATTCTGTATCTTTTGGTCCTCTTATACAAACAAAGACCTAAATTTAAATTAATAAGTATAAATTTAATGTAGGATTTGTTTTGGGAACATGCTGTCATGTACTCAAGGGCTGATTGAAGGAGCTAGTGTTTGACTGATCTCATTTCCTGGGAAATTATTTTCTTTTTCTAAAAAATCAAGTAATAATAAAAATGCAAAAACCTGCTGTTTTATTATATTTTTTCATATTTTGAATAGAAAATACAGGCACCATCATCTTTATGTATATTGTGCTCAAGTTCTTAATGTTCCACCATTCTACGATTAGGTTATTTTATGATTAGGTTATTTACTGAGCAATTTGGCTCTCAATGATTCTAGCAATTATTAGAGTTCAAAGTTGAAAACACTTTGTGATTACTGAGAGGGACACATATTTCTAATTTACCAAAAAAAGTTAATAAGTATGTTATCCAACTAAATATCATCAAGACAATAAGTGTACAGAAGTATCTGCCAGTCCTTATATTTAAGGAACAGAGGCTTGGTATCATAGAATACCTGAGGGAAAAACAATATAAAAATTATCACTAGCCACACTATGATTAATTCCCAACCAGAAAACAAAACAAAACAAGAGCCTAGATTTGGAGGAGTACTCTTAGTGAAACTTAGTGAAAGAGATATTTCTTTTTTGTCAGCGAGGCCTGTTATATATTATAGTCCTCTATCTTAAAAAAATCTTGACTTACCCAGAAGTGCGATTGAATTAGCGGTATCTTCAGCGTATGTTATTTCATCTGATACTTTCTTTTTCAAAAATGGCAAGCTTCAATAAGAATAAAGAACGTACAAGTTATGTTTCATAATGTCCTTAATTAAAGTATCATTTGTAAAGTAGGGAAAATTTTCTTTTCTCAAGGATAAAATGAGAATAATATTCTATTTGTTAGCCCGAGAGAATTGACACTATCAAAAATATTTTTGTGTTTCTAACTAACTGACAAAAATAAATAAAATAGGCTTATAAAATGAAGAGAGATGGAAATAAGGCAAGGATTAAGAAAGCTATCTTGCAACATTGTATAAATAAAAAACTTAAAAATCCTCTTTCTCTCTGAGGGCAAAATAATAAGGGATTATAGGTGTACTTCCATCAAAATTAGGAAGACATTAGATAATCTGATTTGAATCACAGAACTAGGCTTACCTATAATTTAAAGCTGTTCAAAGGCTTTTTCTGAAGTTTTTGAAATTGTATTTAATAGATCAATGGTCTATTTGTTCTTAAAGGACAGTGAGCTTTTCCTTATTAACTAGATCAGTTACTGTCCACAAAATAACAAATATACTTTTTGAGACACTAAGAAATTAAAGTTAACAAATATTATATTAGAATCACATTTCACAGTTACTGCAATCAAAGTTATTTTTGAATAATTTATTTATAAATCATAAAAGATAAGGCACTCAAACCTAGGTTATTAGTGTAAATGTCAAAGGAGCTAAAGAAAGTTCTTAAATACAAAATAAAAACTATTTTGGCATTTCATGAATTTAAAATTTGAAGCTCCTATACTATTTGTTTAAAATATATACTATATATAGAACTTTTAATTAATGTTTTTCAAGAAAAATTAAATAAGTGGTTGAAAACCAGCATTTAGAACTACCACATGTGGAGATGCATATATATATATATATATATATATATATATATATGCCATTTGTAATTGAAAGACATTTCACGGTCAAGCTATGAAAAGGATAATTTTATAAATGCCACAGAGGTTCATTTCAAGTGTTTGTTAAAAATTTTCATTTGAAACAAGTACTTATGAAACTCTAAAAACTAGTTCTACTTGTCCTCAAATGTTTTCTTTCTACCAAAGGAAACAATCTAAAAGATAAAGCATCAGAAGTGTTTTCCACTAAAAAGGTTATGAAAAAAGCTAAACATATAGTCCCAATGCAATGAAAAAAGCATGCTATTTATAGGCCAAAAATACTTTCAATATTTTTATCTCCCAAAAAGGTCTTGAAAAGGGAATTAACTGAAGGCAAGGCATGGAGAAATGCAAGACAAAAGCAGAAATTAGAAAAACAGAAAAAAACACAAAGTATGAATACATGAAATATGAGGGAAAGTAAAGAGTGTAATTCAGCCCTGGCCAGTTTGGCTCAGTGGTTAGAGCGCCCGCCTGTGGTCCGGAGAGACCCGGGTTCGGTTCCCACTAAGTGCATGTATCTTGGTTGCAGTTTCTCCCCGGCCCTGGTTGGTCGTGCGGGTGGCAGCCACTCGATGTGTCCCTTTCACATCGATGTTTCTCTCTCTCTCTCTTCTTCTCTCTCCCTCCCACTCTGTCTGTACAAAAAATGGAAAAATGTCCTCGGGTGAGGATAAAAAAAAAAAAAAAAAAGAGTGTAATTCAAAAGATTTGTCATATTATGCAATGAAACATTTAGTCATGGCTTTCATAGAGAACCAGTTCTTTTTCTTTTTAAATTAAAACAAATTTTTTTTTTCTTTATTGATTTTAGAGAGAGAGGAAGGGAGCAGGGGAGAGAGACAGAAACATCAATGAGAGAGAACACCAAATGGCCACCTCCTGCATGACCCCCACTGGGGATTCGGCCCACAACCTGGGCATGTGCCCTGACCAGGAATTGAACCGGCAACCTCATGGTGCATGGGTCGACACTCAACCACTGAGCCACACCAGCTTGGCAAGAACCAGTTCTTAATGGAGCTCTGTAAGGGGCACTGATGTTCAAAGTCAGACTTATGAACCTGGTGTTCTAGGACTTCTAGGATGTACATAGCCTCAAAATTTGAAAATATTACATATATATAAAATTGTGCACCAATATAATAATTGCCAATTTGTATTCAAGTTCCTTGAAAGCGCCAGAGCAATAATTTAGGTCTTTATTTTTCATGGTCTCTATTAAAAAGTAAGGCATGGTAAAGGCATTCAATAAATTATTATTTTTTGTTGTTGTTAATCCTTACCTGAGGATATTTTTTTCTATTGATTTTTTTAGAAAGAGTGGAAGGAAGGATGGAGGGAGAGAGAGAGAAGAGGAGTCTCAAAGTGAGAGAGACACATCCATTGGTTGCCTCCTGCACGCGCTCCAACCAGGCAGGAAGCAAATCTGCAACCCAGGTACATTCCCTTGACTGGGAATGGAACCCATGACCCTTCGGTGCATAGGCTGACACTCTAACCACTGGGCAACACCAACCAGGGCCCAATAAATTATTTTTGACTATTTTGTTCAGATATTAAAAAAAAAATTAAATGTAATCACAACATTTTAAATGTCTAAATGCAAGTTAAAACCTACTACGTATACAGTCTTACTAATATCATTATTTGCCTATTAAAAGAAACACAGTATTTAAAAAGCTAACTTGGTAGAAAAGTTTCCGAGGTTAAATTGTCAGGAAGGTTTATTTCTACTTTAAGAAATTTCCTCTACTATATTATCATGAAAACTAAAAAGGGGTATTTTAATATGTATCTTGATTAGCCACTATGTGGCAGCAAGGAAGCAGAAGATCACCCCTAGCTCTCCCAAATGGTTAGAGAAACAACTGCACAGAGGACTGGGCATATTAATTTTATCATTCTGACTTCTACTTAACATTAAAAAACATGTATCAAAAATAACTGTTGACATTTTACTCTTTACTCAAATTTGGAAAATCAAATAAATGTAAATCAGAACCAAATACATCTTTGACAGTCAAATTTTCTAGAGATTAAACAACTAGACTGAAACTATTAAGCATTGTCCTTAAATTGTCTCAAGGATTCTCTAAAGATATTACAGTTTCTTGGTTTTACCTCATATTTATCATTACTGTAAGAGCAACTTATTATGAAAAAACATTTTAATATACTTACAGTTTAATCTCTTGTGGCTAGTGATCTCAGACTACAATAAAACTGACTACCTTTGCAATACTAACTACTGGAATCAAGTGATCAGGTGAAGTTTTCTGAGTTCTGCATCACTTGCTACACCATAATGCATAATATCTTTGTAATACAAAATAAAGCATAATAAAATACTGCATGCTACTATAAAATAAAGTTAAAGAAAAACAACTTACCCACATAATTTTATGATATTATATGCAGGTTCTATAAAATGGGGCTGGTTTACAATTTTTCCTGCACACAAATTCAGAATTTTAAATATCTGTGCTAAATCCCCTAGGGGCTTTAATATTTTCAGTTAAGAAATAAAATTAAGATTAAGATTTTTATTAACATATTCTTTATAGCAATTGTACGAAGAATGTCTACAGAATTCCTATTTTGTTAAATGTGGTTGACACTATTTAATTATACTAATTTGGAAGACTAAAGAGGAAAAGTTAGAACCATATATATACTTTAAAAAAATATTTCTTTTTAAAATGTTTTTATTGATTGTAGAGAGAGAGGAAGAGAGACAGAAAGAGAGAGAGAGAGAGAGAGAGAGAGAGAGAGACATCAATCAGCTGCTTCCTACATGCTCCCTACTGGGACTGAACCCACAACCTTGGCATGTGCCCTAACCAGGAATTGAACCATTGACCTCTCGATGCATGGGATAATGCCCAACCAACTGAGCCATGCCAGCCAGGGCAGAACCATATTTTTTAAGGAATATTATTTAATTTGTGTCTCAGTGACCTCTTACTCAAAATATTTTTTTCTCCTCTCATGAGACCTTTGGAATTTGATTACCAACTACTACACTACAAATTCAGTTGATCAATAACTTAATATTGGCAATGAGTAATAACACAATGAAAAAAAATCAACTTAATGGCTCAATCATATCCTTCATCTCCACCCACTCATACGAAATGTTAATTGCTCCAGAATAAGAAACCCAAACCTACCTTATGTTTCTGCATCACTTTATTAATATTATTCAGATGTATTTTCTTATTTTTAAGGTTTGAATTGGTTGAGATTTTATTTAATTTAAAACTAGTATTAAAGTAAAATATACCGTCGGTAGATCTTCAGGTAAAAGCACCTTTTATTTTATCTATTTAAAAAACCCAACTCATACATAACCAAATTTCATATACTTGATTGTACAGCTAAGGGAACGGGGCAGCTGTGACTTGTACTTCTTGGTTGAATCCTATCACTACTAGTCTCTTTCTAGGAACTTCTTAGAAAAAGGAGGGAGAGCTGGGTATACTGGAAAGACAAACCTCTGTTAAATTCCTAGAGAAGTGACCAAGATACTTCTCTAACATATCTTTGCTTTATGTGTTATGACCTCTAAAGCCAGCCTACTAAAGACATTCAGAAATTGAGCCATTTGCCACCAACTCTCTAACCTGAGGAGAAAAAATGATGATTAAGATAGAAAAAGAAATCACTTGCTGGCCGACCTGGCTACCAATAACAGTGTTTGATATCCACAAGCCCTCAGGTAACTGATTGCCCCAACAAATCTGTACAAACCTTGCCAGTTCTGAAATTGAATGTCACCTGTCTGTGGCAAGACGACTGCAGAAAGCAAGTTTCCTGTGGCCATTTGATAACAGCACATATATGCAAAGATCAAAACAACAGCAGCCACCCAACAACAAACTGTTTCTTAAGCATGACAGTTGTGAGACACAGGAGTTTCCACACTCTGATCAGGGTGTATATTTAGTGGGGATAATATCTTTTATTATGCAGTGTTTTACAGATTATCAAGCACTTGCGTGTACATGACCTCATCTAGTCATCCTAACAACCTCATGAGGTGCGGTTGTCCCTATATAAGGGTGGAGAAGTCGAGAAGCTTATTAACAATACAAACACACAAGTAAATTGGAAGAAAGAAGACTGACTTGGCCCTCCTGACTATATCCATTGTCTCTGAGTCTACAGAACTGACATCCATACAGTTAACTGCATTGCACTGTTTTCTTCAATTTTATATTTTCTGATAAACAAAAAATATAATTTCATTAAAAAAACACAAAGAATGTCAGATATTTTCTGTGGTAGACAGAATAATGGCCTGCCCAAAGATGTTCACATCCTAATCCCCAGAACCTGTGACTGTTACCTTACATGGCAAAGGGATTATGTGGAAAAATCTTGAGATGGGAAAGTCATCGCAGATTATCCAGGGAGGACCAGTGTAATCACAGGGTTCTGGTAAGGGAAAGAAAGACTCAGGACAGCGCCAGCGGAGCAACGTGATGACAGAAGCAGAGGTGACAGCGATGGTTCTCTGGGGAAGGAGCCAGGGGCTGAGGATGCAGCCGCCTCTGGGACCTGCGAGAGGCAAGGACACGAACTGTCCTCTCCACCCAAAAGGAACCAGCCGCGCTAACAGCTGCACTATCAGTGAGGCAGATGTTGGACTTCTGACCCCCTGAACTATAAGACTAAAAAACGTATGTTGTTTTAAGGCGCTCTGTGGTAACTTGTTACAGCAGCAGTAGGAAACTAATAAAAACTCCCCCATTTCAGGGTAAACAAACAAACAAACAAAACACATATATATGTAGCCCTGGCTGGTTTGGCTCAGCGGTTGGAGAGTTGGCCTGCGGACCAGAGAGTCCCGAGTTCAGTTCCCGCTAGGGGCACGTACCAAAAAAAAATTAAAAAAACAAATCATATATATGTAAAGGATACAAATCCATTCTGATAATACTGCACCAGTTTCTTGACAGATTTAAGTTGTTTTTCTTCTAAATCATCCTAAAACAAATGATCTGTTTTAGTTCTTTTGTGCTATTGACACTGTTGAGATTTAACATTTTTTCATTAATATAAAAAGAAAACAGACATTAAAATTATCAAGAAATTCTTAAATCACTTTATTATAATGTAAGGATTACACAATGTTTCCTAAAACAGTGAAGGTAAAAGTAAACTACTATTTCAATTTAATTAGGAAATTGAAAATTAAAACTAGATTAATATAAGAAGAGTAATCGTTTCCAGAAATATTAACAATATGTGAAGCATGCTGAGCATTTTTCTATGCCATGCACCATTTAGGCATGATACCTACATATCAGTCTTCAAAACAACTCTATTAGGAGAATACTATTATTATTCCTCTTTTCCACAGTAAGAACCTCAAGCTGAAACACTAATTTGTCCAAAATCGGACAAATAGTAATAGTGGTTGTGTAAGGAGTCAAATTTGGCAATCTGACTCCAGAAACTGAAATTTTAATCTCTAAAATATGCCCAGCATACTGGCACAAGCCAAACAGCTTCAGCTGATTAAAACAAAACAAAACCAAACCCTATACCACTGATGTCTTTTCATGACTGAATCACTTCTGTCCTTTTAATCTTTAAATTGTTTGTGAGAGGCTGTGGCATTTTCTATACTTTACTAACAACTAGTAGGAGCTATATGTTTTCTTTTTATAAAAATGCACATATATTCACAATTAACTTTCACAACAAACATAACCAGCAACATATAAATTCTTATAGTCATTATTTTGTTTTTTCTTCTTTCTATGTAAAAATGCAGAGACTAAGAGAATGTAAAACAGTGATGAAATTTTTGTGCCTACTAATCACAGGACATTTAAAAAAATACATGTTTTTACTGATTTTTTTTAGAGAAAGAAACATTGATGTGAGAGAGAAACATGGATCGGCTGCCTCCTGCACACTCCCTACTGGGGATCTACTTGCAACCGAGCACGTGCCCTGACCAGGAATTAAACTGGGACCTCTTAGTCCATGGGAGGACGCTTAATCCACTGAGCCACACTGGCTGGGCCACAGGACATTGTTTTGTCTTGATCAGCTCTACCACTGTCAATTCATTTTCCACTTACTAAAAGCATGCAATCTCCATCTTGCAGAAATTTTATCGCGTGTGCTAGCTTTTAGGCATCCAATTTGTGGGTAATGTTAGGAGAGTGTGGTATGTGAGTATACATGCATATGCATTTATTATCCTTTTCCCCAATGCTTGAACTCTCAATTTGGAGTCTTTTTTTTTTTTTTTAATGTTATTCCTCACCCAAGGATATTCTTCCATTTATTATTAAATAGAGTGGGAGGGAGGGGGGAGAGAGAGAGAGAGAAACATCAATGTGATAGAGCCACATTGCCTGGCTGCCTCCCTCATGACCTGACCAGGGCTGGGGACGAACCACAACTGAGATACGTGCCTTTGATTGGAATCAAACCCGTGACTCACTGGTCTGCAGTCCGACGCTCTAACTGCTGAGCCAAACTGGTCAGGGCTCAATTTTGAGTCTTTACCTAAAATAATTTTATTTTCATTACCTTCTATATTCAGATTTCTCTGAAAATAAATTACCTATGAGTATTATGAGTATGCATTTATATCCTGATTTCATATCAGAAACGCTTAAGTACATCATGATACTCTTTTTCTGCCTTGCTCCCCACACTGCATTTGGTAACAAGCAAATACAGAGCTGGATGAGTCTTTCTCTACCCTTATGATTCCTTCTGTTTATATCCACCATGGATTTGTCCATCCCATGAAACCAGATCTAGTCTCCTGCAGCCTCCCTACCACGTTTAATATATTCATACTAAGTTTATTTATTTATTTATTTATTTATTTATTTATTTATTTATTTATTTATTTCATCCTCACCCGAGGACATTTTTTGTTCAGATAGAGTGGGAGGGAGGGAGGGAGAGAGAGATAAAGAGAGAGAGAGAGAAACATCGACAAGAAAGGGGCACATCAAGTGGCTGCCACCCGCATGACTAACTAGGGCCGGGGACAAACTGCAACCAAGGTACGTGACCTTAGTGGGAACTGAACCCGGGTCTCTCTGGACCGCAGGCCAACGCTCTACCCGCTGAGCCAAACCGGCCAGGGCAATATATTCATACTAAGTTTAAACAGTCCTTGAATATTTGAAATGTTTTCAAGAGGAGAGAAATGAGACTGGTGTTGGGGGAATACATGTTACCTTTCAGGGAATCACAGTTTATAAGTGATATAGCAGACAAATTTTCTCTCAAAGCTTACTTTGTCGGTGTCTTCGAGGAGTTTGATGACACGATTTAGGTCCATAGGCTTTAAAGCACCCTAAAAAACACACAACTCTTAGTATTCTGCATCATGAGAATCAAGAAATTACACCAAACACACTCTTTCCACATGTTATTATTTATCCCTTGGCAACTTAAAAATATCTTATGACAAAAAGATAGTGAAGGGAGAATGAAAAGCAGATGAAACCTCTTAGGAGTAAAAAAATTTTGGAGTTAAAAAAAAAACCAAACCTTTTGAATTCTAGTATTTTCTTATAATCTTAATTTCTTTAAATTTCACTAGTCCCAAAAGGCCCAACAGAACATCTGGAATAACAGCACTTTCATGCTGTGGAATATAAAATTATCTTCTTCATACACATTACACATCTCGTGCATGCACATTACACTGGGTCTACCCATGCAGATATACTCAAGACCAACTCCTAAACTACAAGTAAGAGATTGGTTTCTGAGCCAAGTATGTCCTCTCCCAGTTGGTACCAGCACTCTGTCATCCACACTGGAAAACAGGAACCTCCAAGTTCTACAGATTTTACATCTTAAATATTTCTTGGGCCCATTTCATCTTACTGATGTATTCAGTTCTCATCGCTCACTCAACTGCTTTCCTGCTGTTCTTCCTGCCTCCATCTATTCTGGTACTTTTCAACAGCGTCCTTACCCTATGGTGAACATGATGAAACTCAAGTCTGAACACAACCAGTCTGAATCATTCAGTGACTCTCCACTATTGCCCTTCACCCCTTCCTCTATTTTTATTTATGTTGTTACAATCCTATTCCTCTCCTTGGTTAATCCCACAGGTAGGTCCTTCAAGACTCAGCTCAGGTGTCATCTCCCTAAGGGATGAAAAAGGCTAGAACAAATGCCTCTCCTATGCTCCCACAGCATCCTAAGCATATATCCATTACAATCCCCCCACCACGCCCTACCCCGGAAGTTCACTTGAGGGCAAAGCCTTGCCTCCCGGCATCCCCAGCACCAAACACTGGGCCTATCCTATAAAGTGAACTGTAGGTAAGTGGGGAAGAAAACAGGAAGTAGTATCATCCAAAGTTTAGGTATTTATGATAATACAGAAGTCCCCAAATTCTAGATACAGTTTTGGCAATTTTGAATTTGGGGATTAATACTTTGTTGCATAATATTTTCTTTTTGATTCAAATGTCGTAATTGCTTGCTCCTCTTATATGAGGTAAGCTCTCCCAGTCTCTTTTGCTGCCTTATCGTCATGCCTCCTTTCACTTACTTCTACTTTAAAATAAACACTTGAAAAGATGATGGAATAATGATATAAAAATATTCAAAAGGGGGGGAAATCCTTATTCCTATCATCTAAATATACCTCTTTTTTTTTTTTTTTTTTTTATCCTCACCCGAGGACATTTTTGCATTTATCTTCAGATAGAACGGGAGGGAGAGATGGAGGAAGAGAGAGAGAGAAACATAGATGTGAGAGAGCCACATCGAGTGGCCACCATCCACACGACCCCAGCCTCGGCGGGGACAAACTGCAACCGAGGTACGTGCCCTTAGTGGGAACTGAACCAGGGACTCTCTAGTCTGCAGGCCGACACTCTAATCTCTGAGCCAAACTGGCCAGGGCTCCACTGATTTTTAGATAGAGTGGAAGAGACGGAGGAGGGAGAGAGAGAGAACATCAATGTGAGAGAGACACATTGACTGGTTGCTTCCCACACAACCCCGACTAGGACCAGGGATTGAACCTGCAACCCAGGTATGAGCCCTTAACTGGGAATTGAATCTGAGACCTTTCAGTCCAGGGGCTGACTCTAACTGCAGAGCCAAACTGGCCAAGGCTATTTTCTGTTTTTATTTACATGTATAAATGCTTTACATAATTTCACTTACTGTTAATACCATTGTATTTTCTGACTTAAATCTATAATGCATACTTTTCCATATTTTTACATGGTCATTATTCCTTTTCCTCATAAGTCTAGCTTTCACAATTACAAACTCCTATATTCTGACCTTAAAAATGTCTTTCAAAAACAATTTTCTGTTAAGCACTCTAACTTCAAATCTGCGGAATAAATATCAGAATGAATTATTTACTCAAAATGATTTTTACTTTAAAATTTAATAATCAGACAGGATTTACTGCCCTGGTCAGTTTGCCTCAGCAGGTAGAGCGTCAGCCTGCGGTCCAGAGAGACCCGGATTCAGTTCCCACTAAGGGCACGTACTTCGGTTGCAGTTTGTCCCTGGCCCTGGTTGGTCATGCGGGTGGCAGCCACTTGATGTGCCCCTTTCTTGTTGATGTTTCTCTCTCTCTTCCTCTCTCTCCCTCCCACTCTATCTGAACAAAAAATGGAAAAATGTCCTCGGGTGAGGATAAAGAAAAAAAAGGATTTACTAAATACTTTTCTATACCTGATATTATGGTTACCAAAAAATTGTTACCTTTTACTATTAAATTGTTCAAGTTACTAAATTTACTGTTACCAACAATTTGTAAATAGAATTTTGCCTCTGAAGATTTGGGTTTTTAACAGTGCCATCTACCACTACCTCAGCTATGTACACACACACACACACAGAGTGAATTTCTATTTTTTGGTTTTCTGCAATACTGGTTTTGAGGGTTGTAAAGGATATTAAAATACCTGATTGTATGATCAGAACCCCCTCCCCCACATGAGCAGGTACAGCTCTTACAAGATTAGTAAAGATTAAAGCATAGATTCCTCTTAGATTTACCTTGTTTTATTACTTTATGTTACTCTGTGTTTTACTTGCTTGGCACAGATTATATTTTTAAGATTTCTCCCTTTCTCCTTTCCTCCCTCCCTTTTCCTATGTCTCCTTCCACAAATATTCATAAGCAACTTCTATGTTTTAGAAACTGTGCTAGGTGTGGGGAACACATGGCCCTGACCTCAAGTAGCTACCAGTCTAGCATGAGATGCAGGTAAGACAGATAACATGCTGTAAAATGCCCCTTGAATGTGGACAGGTATCCTCTGGAAGCACACCGAAGAGCACAGAACGGCATGGGGAGGAGAAGAGGGAATGTACGACAGCTTCTGGAAAGTCATCTGCAGGCAGAGGGAGCAGTGTGTGTGAAGGCCTGGAGGCGAGAGAAAATACGGCATTTGGAGGATCGGTGAGTCATCAGTATGTTGGAGAGGAGAGTGCAGGGGACAGTGGCTATAGATGCTGCTGATGAGGTAAAATTCATGCCAAAGTATGAATCATGATAATGATAACGAGTGACAGCTAAAACGTATTAGACAATATTTATTTCCAGGTACAGTTATAAGCACTTTATATGTATTTACTAGTTAAATTCTATGAGGTAGGTACTACTACTATTATTATTTTTTTGAAAGTTGCTTATTTTTTAAAAAAAATATGTTTTTATTCATTCTTTAGAGAGAGAGGAAGGGAGCGAGAAATACCTTTCGGCTGTCTCCTGCACACCCCCTACTGGGGATCGAGCCCACAACCCTGGCATGTGCTTTGACTGGGAATTGAACCACGAAGCCATACTGGCCAGGCAAGGTAGGTACTATTATTAAGTCCATTTTACAAATGGTCTTCTATGCTGAGAAGGATCTTCAGAAACTACTGAATGGTTTGAGGGACTGTATTTATACACACAGACAATGGCCACACTATATATGGCCCATAACCTCTGCAGCAACCCACCTGGTTAGCCAAACCACAATTTCTGCAGCATTTGGCTCAGAAAAGTCAAGATTTGGTCAACATTACTCACAGATCCCCCTTTTGTTGCCCTCTTGTTTGCCAACCAGGACCCAGAAAAGGCCAAATATGCTTCCAAATTCAATCATACAGAATGCCCTGCTTCTAGCCAGCTCACCTCCAGCTTCCCCATGGCAACCGCCTCCAACCAGAGCATACCAGCAGCCTTCCCCTTTCCACTGTAAAACTTCCCTGCCTGCCATGGAGTCTCTGCCAAATGCAAGCAATGCTGGCTGACACTCTTTCTAAGGACAAGCTCTGAATAAGTTGCCTCTGTTCTCATTGGGGGCTTCTTCATTTGTTTCCACAGGTTTTAACCAGAGGAATGTAACAAGAAGAAGATAATTTTGTCTCTTGAGTAGAGACTGAACTGGAAAGACCTAGACTGGAGGTGGGAAAGCGGTCTGTGACTTCAGACCTTGACTAAGGTAGCGGTAACTGGGATAGACAGACAACAGTGAATAGAATGAAAAACACGAAGGAGGTACAATCAGCAGAGCTGGTGGAACGGGTGAGGCTGATGCTTGGGCCCGAGGAACTCTAAGTGGTGGCATCATTTGCTGAGACAGCGAATGCTGGAGGAAGAGGCTTGTGTTGAAGCTGGAGATGAGTTAAATTTGGGACAGAGATTTCTAATCATAGGGTAAAGTAATAATTGGAAGAGTCTGGGTAAATGATATCACACAAGCAGAGCACAGAAGCAACAGAGAACATACGCATGTAAATATAAAAATAATTGCTGTTATTACCATAAGGTGTTTATGGAGAAATTGTAAAAAATATTTACCAAAACCCTTTAAGATCAAACATTTAATAAACTGCTTTGAAGCAAATTAGACCTCCACTTATTTCAAGTTATAGGATGAACTCATTTTCCAACTTTACCAAGGGACATTTCAAAGGGGAGAAATCTTGTTCATTTGATACTTAGTTATAGAGAAAGAAACTAACATTTACTATGGTCCTTTTATGTGCCTGGCACTTTACATCTTAATTATCCCTCAAATCTACTATACAAAGGTAGCATTGTTATATCTGTTGATGATACGGGCCCTGAGACCTAACTGGTTAAAGTCACATAGCTAGTAAATGGGACAGCAGATCTGTCTGGTGCAAGAATGCTGTTTCTTTGCACCTTAGTTCTCTGCCTGACTCCTCAATTCGCAATTGCTAACAATTACTTCAAAACAGGGGTAGAAAATTTTATTTTATTTTTCCTTTATTGATTTTAGAGAGAGGAAATGAGAGAGAGAGAAAGAGAGAGAGAGAGAGAAACATCGATGA